ATTTACCTACTTAAAATTATCTGTTAGATTAAGGACCTGCCCAAAATGCTGCGCATACTAGTGGCTTTACAAGAATGTAATTACCATGCTATGTATCCTCAAAAACCCAATGTACCTTCTTGTATATAAATATAAATAAAAGGACCCTTACTCGACCAAGTACTCTCTGGGCTTGCACACATTGTTCCTGTATTGCTAAACTCAAACTGATAATTATTAAGCCATCAGCATCAAAGTAGTGACATTGCACGTCACCACTTTGACGGGTAACTTGCCATTGCACGTAATTAAAGTTAAAGTAAAGTAAAAGTCCACAACTGTACTATGTTTTGTATGTTTTTTTTAATATACGATCAATTATTATTAGTCAATACCCTTAATAGATTTGTTAATGGATATATAGCACTGACAACTGTATAGATAATTATTTAGCTAATGACAAACAAGTACATCAAAGGAGCTTTTAATACAACAAGCAATTGCAATTTTAGTGAAGCTTGCATGTATGGGATCTTGTATGAGATTACTCAGGATCTTGTGCCAACATCAGAAAAGGGCAACAGTAATCAAAGGATCTCTGTAGTACAGTTGGGTTCTTTCTCGACTCAGTCGGGAGTCCTGGGTTCGAATCTCGTGCAGGGTAGAAATGACTCGGCATGTTTCCTTTCATCTAATGCTTCTGTATACCTAACAGTAAACAGGTACTTGGGAGTTAGTTAACTGTTGTGAGTTGCATCCTGTGAAATGGTAGAATACTAGAATGGACAAAGCAAAGGTTAAATGGTCGTTCAAAATGGAAATGAATCTGACTGGAGAAATTTGATGAGTGGAGTACCGCAAGCTTCCATCTTGGGGCCAATCCATTTTTGTCATAAACATCAATGACATATATGGGAATATTGCAATCCACACCAAATTTGCACAAGACACTAAGATCTCCAGAAATCTGATAAAGTAAGAAGCGAAAATTATATCCAGACTTTACAAAGAGATGAACATGAACTTCTCAAATAGTCGGAAGACTGGCAAATGATTTTTGATATGGAAAATGCAGCACCTTACATGTGCTGCATTTTCCGTCTGGCCAGAAAATTTTCGGGGGGTTATGGGCCGCCTCCGTCTGGTCGCCCCCCAGGCCAGACGGGGGCGGCCCCAGTGCTACAAATCGGCATCTATAGCGCCCCTTAACCCCCCCCCCCCTGCAATTTTCATAAAGTCAAATCTGAAATAGAGATTGTGTTTACCGTAGATATATTTAGCAGTGTCAGTGGTTCGAAATATTACATTTTCCGAGAAAGAAAGTGGAGGAGGCGAAAAATGTTTGAATAGAGGGAAGGGGGAGAAAGGTGGAGAACGGAGATTAGAAAAGAGGGTGGAGAGTTAAGGAGAGGGGGATTTAAAAGTTGAGAGAGAGGAAAAACCTAGGTGACAAAAACCCAGGTACCCTATCTTTGCATAATATAAAATCATAATAACAACATGTAATCATATAATGATTAGTATATGATTATGGACTAATCACATGGACTTTGTTGAAACTTTTGGCAAGGTACCACATGAAAGACTAGGAAGGAAACTACAGGCACTTGCAATAAATGGGAGAATACTGGAATGGATAAAACAATGGTTAAAACAATGAAAACCCGAGTCGTGCTAAATTAGAATAAATCTGACTGGAGAAATGTGGTAAGTGGGGTACTTTTGTCATTATACATCAATGACAGAAAATATTACTCACCACATAATCAAATTTGCAGATGACACTAAGACTTATGGTAAAGTGGGAAGTGAAAATGAGATTGAGACTTTACAAAGAGATCTACATGAACTCCACAAATGGTCATAAGAACGGCAAATTCGTTTTAATATCGATAAATGCAAGACCTTGCATATGTGGGGCATAACAATCCACGTCACAACTAGCAAATTAACAGAATTCATTATTCATCATCAACCTTGCAGCAGATTGTCGGATAAAAGGACCTTACCTTGAGGTTACCTTGAGGTGCTTCCGGGGCTTAGCGTCCCCGCGGCCCGGTCGTCGACCAGTTGGCCCCTTCATTGTACTCCCATTCTGACCCCCTCACTGTATTCTCATTCTGGCCCCCCTCATTGGCCCCCCCCTTCACTGTACTCTCATTCTGACCCCCTCATTGTATTCTCATTCTGCCCCCCCCTCACTGTACTCTCATTCTGACCCTCTCACTGTACTCTCATTCTGGCCCCATCACTGTACTCTCTCATTCTGGCCCCTCACTGTACTCTCATTCTGGCCCCTCACTGTACTCTCATTCTGGCCCCGTCATTGTGCTCTCATTCTGGCCCCTCACTGTACTCTCATTCTGACCCTCTCATTGTACTCCCATTCTGGCCCCCCTCACTGTACTCTCATTCTGACCCTCTCACTGTACTCTCATTCTGACCCCCCTCACTGTACTCTCATTCTGGCCCCATCACTGTACTCTCATTCTGGCCCCTCACTGTACTCTCATTCTGGCCCCTCACTGTACTCTCATTCTGGCCCCTCACTGTACTCTCATTCTGGCCCCGTCATTGTACTCTCATTCTGACCCCCTCATTGTACTCCCATTCTGGCCCCCCTTCACTGTACTCTCATTCTGCCCCTCACCCTCACTGTATTTTCATTCTGACCTTCCCCCTCACTATACCTCCTTCAGTTTTGTTCCTCGTTAAACCCAGCTCATTCTGACCCTCACTATCCTAGAACCAAGTCGACTCTCATAGCCTGAAAGGTTGAGGATCACAGGACTAACAACACTGCAAACCAGACATGACAAGGCGGATCTCATCGAAACTTTTAAATTAATCAATACAATACAACAATACAATTTTATTTAGGTAAGGTACATACATACAATAAATATTTACAAGGATTGTTTAACTTATAGGTATAGCTAGTACATACAATGCCTAAAGCCACTATTACGCAAAGCGTTTCGGGCATGATAAACTTAAATGACAAGCTTAATACTAATTGAGCATAATGAGTAGAATGAAAACAAGAAATGAAAACATAGATGAAAAAGCAGCACAAATACAATTATGTCGACAAACAGTGCTCTTTAAAGAAAAAAACAGACATTGGTTGACAATAGAAGGGTAAGGTAGGTTACAGGGAATTTATTAGGTATAGCTTCGCTTTTAACTTAAACTGGTTGAGAGAGGTACAGTCTTTAACATGGTTGGGAAGGTCATTCCACATTCTGGGCCCCTTGATTTGTAGAGCATTTCTAGTTTGATTAAGTCGTACTCTAGGAATATCAAAACTGTATTTATTTCTGGTGTGATGCTCATGGGTTCTGATACAACCTTCTATGAAGCTTTTGAGATCAGGATTGGCATTATAGTTTAGCGTTTTATATATGTATAATACACATGAGAGAATGTGCAGTGACTTAATGTCTAACATATTCAGAGATTTAAGTAGGGGTACCGAGTGATGTCTGGGGCCAGAATTGGATATTGTCCTAATAGCAGCTTTGTGTTGAGTAATTAGAGGACGTAAGTGATTTTGGGTAGTAGAGCCCCAAGCACAAATACCATAGTTAATCATTTATTTACAACAAATACTGAGCATTTCCTTCACCTTCACTGAACAATTTGTACGATATTGATCCAGACAACTTCAAAAGGTAACACAAACAAGGAGCAACGGTTTTATTAAGCTCAACAATTAGCCACAATGTAGGACAGAAAGCAGTAAATGTTTTTTTCAGTCAGAGGGTTATAAACCCATGGAACTGCCTACCTGCCGAAGCTGTAAATGCCAAAAACCCTGCATAATTTTACGATCCAGCTCGATAAAATCTTGTGGACAAGTTGGGGACATTTTTTAATTTGACAAACCGCCGGCTTCCAGTCCGCATCAAGGCCACTTGTAAGATATGATAATGGTCCTCATGCAAACTCAGGTAATTAAATTGCACGTGGGACCTAATATCCTCATCACAGCTATCCTACAGCAGATTGCTGAAGAAAAGTACCTCGGAGTCAGGAGCCATCATTCCCTGAATGTTGTACAGCAAGAGGGAGGGAGGGAGGGAATTATCAGGGGGAAGCGCCAATTAAGCCATTACGAGTATATAGCACTGGGAAGGAGGGGTCAGGATAAGGATGGGACGCAGGTTAGGAATGGTGCCTTACCACTTGGACGGTCGGGGATTGAACGTCGACCTGCAGGAAGCGACACCGTCGCTTTACCATCCAGCCAATTCCAAGTGATTGGACAGGAATGGGGGAGGCCTGGTAGCCTGATGAATAGCGCGCAGGACTCGTAATTCTGTGGCGCGGGTTCGATTCCCGCACCAGGCAGAAATAAATGGGCAAAGTTTCTTTCACCCTGAATGCCCCTGTTACCTAGCAGTAAATAGGTACCTGGGAGTTAGTCAGCTGTCACGGGCTGCTTCCTGGTGTGTGTGTGTGTGTATGTGTGTGGTGTGGAGAAAAAAAAGTAGTTAGTAAACATTTGATTGACAGTTGAGAGGCGGGCCGAAAGAGCAAAGCTCAACCCCCGCAAACACAGCTAGGTGAATACAACTAGGTGAATACAGGAGCTGCAGTAAAAAAAAATCTTGGAATAATAAAGCGAATACTGTATGTGACTTCAATGGAAATAATGTAGTTATTCAACTGCATAAGTCTCTGGTGTGCCCCACTTGAATTATTGTAGCCAAGCTTGGCGCCCCTCATCTTTAGACAGACATAGGTGCTTTAATATTTAGAGAAAGTTCAACATGGGGCAAGGAAAATCCTTCCAGAACTAAGTCGACTCTCATACTAGGAACGATTGAGTGGCCATAGGGCTAACATCACTGGCTTGTTGAGCTTAAAACCGTTGCTCCTTGTTTGTGTTACATCTGACCTTTTGAAGAAATTTACACATCTTTCAAATTGTTCAGTATATGGGATTAATGGTCAAATTTTTGTTAAAATGTGGTAAAAAATGATAGAACTGTTTGTCAAAGACTCGAGTCGGATTGATGATCGCGAACGTAAATAAGAGGACCAGCCTCTCCTCACGTGGCGGTCATCAGCAGGACCTTGGTTACAGCAAGTGATTTTTCCCTCGATTGTCCTCGCCTCCCTCAATCACTCAACAACATCAAGCGATTATATAAATTAGTGATACCGTGAGTATGCGATATACCTAGGGATTTAACATGTGGTGTTGGGTATTTTGTAGTTTGAGTGTGGTGAAATATGATGGTGGAGGCGCGGCGGTAAGGAGGTTATTGTTAAATTCTACACTGGTGTTTCCGACAAAGCTCGCTTTTAATTTGTCATAACTGAACAGATGATTAGATTAGATTGGGTTAGGTTACATTAGATAGGTTTTAAATGCTATTGCCCATAGCCCACAAGCAATCCAGCTGGGATCGCCCCATTGTAGACCAAGCAGCTGCAACAGGCCTAGAAGCTGCATGACACTGCTCGACTTAGTCAGCAACCGGCACGGGTTTCACACCGCAGGCCCTCCGAATTGCCGTGGCTCTCCGCCTCGCTGCCCCAATCCACACCGAATACATGTGTATTTGCGGCGAGGCAGTGACCGACAGGTATGGATGTCACGGCCTTCTCTGCCAAAGGACAGGAGGATGGCATGCAAGACACAGTGAGGTTAATGACATTATTAAGAGGAGCCTTACCACAGCCGGTTGTCCAGCAGAAAACCTCATTACCTAATGCCCTGCAACTCTGATGAGCCTGTCGGTCGCCCTGACGCGATTACGGTGAACCCCTGGACGAATGGCAGACAGTTGGTGTGGGACTACACTTGCGTTTCAACTTTAGCCAACACCTACGTTGGCCGAAGTTGGCTTCAACTTTAGCCATCACCGATGTTGACGTCCATGCTGCACAGGCAGGAGGTACTTCCAATCACTGGGAAGCAGCCAAATCTCGTAAATACAAAGTTCTTGATCACCACTACAATTTTGTTCCCATTGCCAATCATATTTCAAGTGTAGTGAAATATGATTGTGGAGGCAGTTATGATTAAATATGACCCCACTGTGCTAGGGTTATGATTAAATCGGACGCATGGTTTAGACAGTTTATTTTCTAATTGTATTGAAACTATAGTAATTAAATTAGGCTGTGTTAGGTTAGACAAGTTTGTGTTAGGCAGGCAGGCTTTCAAATTTATTGGCAAACCATCTTTGGTATGATGTGACATTCCTTCATTAGAGGACCCTGTATATTGAGTAAACTGCTTTTATAATTTGATTAGGATAGGTTAGGTTGGGATAGGATATGATAGCCGTGTTTAAAGAGTACCGATGATGTAAAATCATACAACTTTCCACCTTCTTTGAACTCTGCTACCATGATAGAAATGATTGCATATATGGACCATTTGTCTGTAAAATTTTCTGTTACTGGTTTTGTACAGTGCTATACAATACGCATCACACAGTATCATGCATTATGTCAAATTGTTTTAGGTTTCAAAGTTCATATTTGCCTGTTTAGATCTGGCAAGTTTTATTTTTTCTATTTACACTTTTTTGCCCCTGTTGTAGCAGTCAGGGAAGCTGTTGATTACCCAGTCAGTAGTTAGCTGAGTGATAATTGATGTTGCATTATGTAAATTGATGTTTGGAAGGGATTACAGTATTAGAGTAATGTTAATTTTTTTGTAAGATAGTGAGTGATCCCTAGGTGGTGGCTGGAGTTTAAACTCATCACTCATCCTTCCCCAACTATATGATCAGGCTACAGTACAGTATTTGAAATATTTTTCATGATGGCAGTCATCAGATCCTTGAAGGAAGAATTGTGTCTGTACATACATAGGCCATTGGCTTGAGGGATAACCAAGAGACTGGCTCAAGCATTTCACTTCAGTTGAAGCTCAATTTTTTTCTGTCAAGATATAATTAAAGCCGGCAAAAAACTTGAAATTTTGAAATGGGTCATGTCTTGCATGTACATTATTATGGCGATTGTTAGAATATGAAAATAATATTTTATACTTCAAATTATAAGATTATTTAAACAATATCAAGATGACCATGGGGCAAAAGTTCTTCCTATGCGTTTTACTATCAATACTGTATTTGGAATGTAGCCATCCCCTGTCTCTGCACTGAACACATAACTAATAGTGTATGTAAATCACAGGCAGATCTCTTACCAGTGTGTTGTCTCAATAATTTTGCATGTTCCAAACAGATACTGAAGCCAAAAAAGGTTTTTTCTTCCACAAACGATGGCAAGTGACAGCGGAGAAGAGTATTCGGATACAGAGTACTCGGACATAGATGAGCGAGAAGCCAATGAGGAGCATGATTCAGACGTTGAGGTAATTTTCTTAAAATTTGTCTGATGCTGTCAGTAGATTATATATATAGACCCCTAAAGTAATTTATATTTGTTTGGCACAAAGAATAACTTGTTTTAAATTATCAGTGCTGCACAGTTATGATTTAGTAGTAGGCTATCCTTATACTGTATTGATGAATGGCTTGATTAAAACTGTTTTCTCAACAGCTGCAAGAGGCATTTTCGAGAGGAGAGCTGAAACCAGGTCTCCACGTCCTCAATGAGAAAGTAATTAAAGAGTTTAAAAATGATGTGGTAAGTTGAAATTTTCTATTCATACAAATAATGTAGAAAAAATGTAGTGAGGCCTAAAGACTGTGACTGAATCATCTAAGAAATATCACATTTGATTCTATTTTCAATGGGTTGCTGATAAATTTCAACAATTGAACTACTCACACTTGTGTACTTGTCCAGTCTATACATGGAAGTTTTAAATAAAAATGACAGAAATGGGTGATACTTAAATAATTTGTCTTTGTATTTATTCAGTATGTATATTATCTTTGTATGTATATTTATTTATTTATTATTTATTTATGTATTCTCTAACCCAGGTCTCTTTGATTGTGAGTCAAGGACATACGACTATTTTGCTACAGGACTCATTTTGGTGCTACACCCCAGACAGGGCGGGGGGGGGGGGGGTTAGAACTCCCAGAACAAACCCACTCCAGGTATACAATTGCCCAACCACTTGGGCTGGATGGTAGAGTGACTGTCTCGCTTCATGCAGGTCGGCGTTCAATCCTTGACCGTTCAAGTGGTTGGGCACCATTCCTTCCTCCCATTCCATCCCTTATCCTGAGCTCTTTGAAGTGCTATATAGTCATAATGGCTTGGCACTTTCCCCTGATAATTCCCTTCCCTTCCAGGTATACAAGACCCATGTTGGTGCTACAAGATCTATACGTAGGTATCATGTGATTAATTCTATTTTTCTCCCACAGAATGGCTTGAAGCAAAAGTTAGCAGAGTTTAAACTTTCTCTGCCTTGGACTGAACGGTTTGATATTACCAATCCCCCTGCACCCCTAGCACCAGAGCTTGATGCAGAGGTTAGTGTTTTTGTCAAAAAACCAGCGTTGAATGTAATGAAACGCCATTTTCTGGGTGAGTCCCGGAGGCTCCCCGGAGCTATCCCAGGCTGATATGCTAATGTCAGACTTTGGCATCAGTCATGTGTATGGAGTTCTTAGGCCTACCGGGGACCACGGCCAGAACCGGGCCCCCTCAGAGAGGCAAGGGGAGCAATGGCCTATAGAAGCCCCCGTGTAGTTGGAAGCATTCTATGTCTGCCATCGACCGGAACAGGCACCCAGAAAGGTAAGCGCCCCAAAACAAACCCCTATTCTGGTTAAAATTGCTACCTAATACCGAACTAGTGGATAGAACTCCCCAACCGAAAACAAGCAAATTAGTGTGACGTCACACACTGCCGCGCCGCTGTCTGCGCAGCTCCCCCCTCCCCGGGAGGGGGAAGGGGGAGCCCCAGACCCCCCGCGCCGGCTACCCACACCTCAGTTCTTGAGGCTGGATGTCAAAAACGCGAAAAACCGCCGACCGGAGGGAGGGAGGGATGCCGGGGAGCCTCCGGGACTCACCCAGAAAATGGCGTTTCATTACATTCAACGCTGGTTTTCTGGGGGGAGCCCCGTCGGCTCCCCGGAGCTAACTACCCACAGACAGAAAAAGAGGGACTTACCCGGGAGGCGGTCGTCGCTCACCCCTCAACTCGAAGCCGAGACAACTGGCTGCAACCGCCGACCCAAAGCAACACAGGCCCGACGAGGGCCAGGGACATTCACAAGGTAGCGAGCAGCCAGGACCCTGTTCGACCGCCAAAATCCCCGCGCCCGAATATCAGACCAAGACATATTCCCAAAGACGGCAGCAAGAGCCGCGAACTTACGAACGTCATGGGCACGGGGATAGACCGCAGGCTGGCTAGACCTAATAACCCTGCGGACGACCTGAGAGACCCGAACCCGCGAACAGGGAAGAAGGGAAACCGGATCAACCCACAGCGCGTCCCCGGACACAGAAGCTGTGGCGCGCAAATAACGGCGAAGCGCCGCAACCGGACACAAAACATGATGCACCCCCGGCCTGACCAACCAAGCATCAACCACCCATGGACCCCTCCGGAACGCAGCAGTCTCATTCTTCGCCAGAAAAGAAGGAGACGGCTGCAAACGAACAAAACTATCACCACGACCAAAAGAGCAGAAACCCCTGCGCCGGAGGAGAGCATGAAGCTCCCCTACCCGACCCCCAGAGGCCAAAGCCAACAAGAAAAGTGCCTTGGAAAAACAATCCTGGACCGAAGGGGCCACAACGAAACGAGGAGATGAAAGGAAAGCGAGCACTCTGTCCAAAGACCAGGACGGCTCAGGCGACGCATGAGCAGGCCGGAGGTGAAACAATGCACGAGACAGCTTGCGAAACGGCGCAGACGTAACATCGATACCGAAAGCAAGCTGAAGCGGCTCCGCCAGCGCCGCACGATACGAAGCGACAGTGTTAGGCATAAGATGACGGTCCTGAAACAACCACGAGAGGAAGGACAAGACCACCCGAACAGACAAGGAGCTAACACGACGAAGACGCAAAAAGAAACGGAAGGACCGCCAGGAAACTTCATACTGCCGCCGAGAAGAAGCCCTCAGGTGGGACACCAACAAGGAGGCCACCTGATCACCATAGAGATGATGATAGACTCGAGTCAAAAAAACCATACGCGAAGACTCGAGGAGAAGATCGAACCAGCTACGTGACGTACCGGCCCGATCTGCTGAAAGAGGCGGAGCCGCGGGAAAACCCTCGGGTTCGGACACCGAGCAACCAGCGCCTGAAACCAAGGCTGGGCCGGCCACCAAGGGGCCAGAAGGACAACTCTCCCCTGGTAAGTCTCTAAGCGAGTCAGGACCTGGAGCAACAGCCGAACTGGGGGAAAGAGGTACAGGAACCCCCACCTCGACCAGTCGAGCCGAAAGGCATCGACCCCGACGGCCTCGCAATCGGGGAAGGGCGCCGCATAAACGGGAAGACGCCGCGACCACGCCGACGCGAAGAGGTCCACCTCGGGGCGCCCGAACGTCTGGCAAAGCCAACGGAAGGACTCGTCGTCGACCGTCCACTCCGTGGAGAGGGGAACGAAGCGAGACAGGGCGTCGGCCAAGACGTTGGACACGCCCCGTACGTGAACCGCCAGGAGAGCCAAACCCCGAGAACTCAGCAGACGAGTCACCCGAAGCGACCAACCCCAAAGAGACAAGGACCGCATCGAACCCCCGCGGTTCAGGCAATGAACCACCGGAGAGCAGTCCGAATGGAGCCGAATCGTCGATCCGCGGGCCACCCGAATCCTCCCCAGAGCAAACCACACTGCCGCGAACTCCCGCACCGTACTGTGAGCTCGACGGAAGGACGGATCCCAACGCCCCTGGCCGGCCTGGTGAGCACTGGTCACAAAACCCCAGCCGAGAGACGACGCATCCGTGTACACATCGAGCGAGGGCTCGGGTAGGCGCCAAGGCACTGAACCCCGAAAAACCCGAAGAGGAAGCCGGTGACGCAGCAACCGACGCAAGTCCCCCGGGGGTCGAACTCTGCGATCGCGAGAGAGGCGGAAGGGGGAACCCCGAAGGAACCAGAACAGCCGTCGAAGCCAAACCCGACCCGGCGGGTAGACCACCATCGCGAAGTTCAGGCTCCCGCACAGCCCCTCGAGCAACCGCCGGGTGACCCGAGGGCCCTCCAGAAACAGACGAAGGCGGGACCGCAGCCGCAGGAGAGACTCCGGAGGGAGAGACAAGGAGGCGGTCCGAGAGTCCCACACGAGACCCAGCCAAGTCCGAACCTGAGAGGGAACCAGATGGGACTTCCTCCAGTTCACCAAGAACCCGAACCCGGCGAGCTGGGAAAGAACCAAATCCCTGGCTAGCAAGCAAGCTGACTGGCTGGGAGCCCAAACCAGCCAGTCGTCGAGGTAGGCCAACACCCGAACACCTAGGAGACGCAAACGAGCCACCACAACCCGTGTAAGGCGTGTGAACACGCGAGGTGCCAGGTTCAAACCGAACGGGAGACAACGAAAGCGGTAACTCAGACGCCCCACTACAAAACCGAGCCAGTCCCTGAACCGCGGATGAATCGGGACATGCCAATAAGCGTCCCGGAGGTCCAGGGACACCATCCAAGCACCCGGCTCCAAGAGGAGCCGAACCTGAGACAGCGTAGTCATCCGAAAGGAGGGGCAATGAACCCAGGGGTTCAGACGGGACAAGTCCAGAATGAACCGCAGGTCCGCGCAGTCCCGTTTCGGAACCGGAAACAGACGGGAAACCCATCTGAGGGACGACGTCGTTTCGACGACGCCCAAGCGTACCCACTCCAAGACGACTCGACAGAGCGCAGGGGAAGAAGCCTGCCCCGCCAGCCCCGACCCCCCAAAGGGGGGAGGGGCCACCCAACGCCACCGCAGGCCGCGAGACACGACCCGAAAGGCCCACGAATCGTGGGACCAGGCGCGGGCGAACAGCGCAAGCCGCCCCCCCATCGCCCCGTCAAAGGGGCAAACCGCGAAAGGGCCGGCGACCCTTACGAGACCCAGAACCCCGCACAGCGCGAACACCGCGCCGACCAGACGAGGGAGGGTCCGCAGGAGGAGCCAACCCCAAACCTGACACCAGAGGCCTACCACGACGAGAGGAACCCCGAGCCCTGGCACGACCTTTCCGGGAAGACCCACCCCGGGACCCCCGGAAAACCAACAAGTCCGACATCGGACGACAAGCCGCCGACGCAGCCTGAATAAACTGCGCCACGGCCGACTCCCCAAACAGGAGAGGACAAAAAGGTGAAGAACGCCTAAGAGCCAGAGCCCAAGCAGATTCCACGGAGGAACCCAGCACCGCCTGCCGACACGCGAGACGGGAAGCATAGAACAGGGAAACCGCATCCCGCAAAATCGGCGTGAACAGCTTCAACAAGGCAGCCGACGAACGCGCAGCCGAGGACAAGGTGCCGGACCCCGGGACGGACCCAAGCGTCCCCACATCCTCCACGAGCCAATCCGAAGACAGCTCCAGGAGGGAAAAGAACCGCAAGGCCGAACACAAAAGGCCCCGAGCGCGCAAGTCCTCCGCCACGAGCGCCGCCGAAAGGGAGGGAACCTGCACATGGAGCTGAATAACGCCCACATCGCGGGGAAGGGCAGGGGCAAACAAGCACTCATTCAGGTACTCAAGTTCACCCCCCAGGAAAACCTGAAGCACCGTGGAAGCTTCCCGCCACTCCAGCGTGCGGGAACGACAGAAGGAATGCCAGGAATCCAGACCAAACAAGGGGCAGTCTGCTAGCCAGGATGACTCCGGAACCTCGTAACGGAGCCAGAAAGGGAACGAAGTCCCAAACCTGAACGTGGACGGATCCATTTCCGAGGCATAATCCGGGTCACGCAGGAGGTAAGCTGCAAAGGCCGCGCGCACCACACCAGGTTGGATGCGATAAGCCGAAAACCTCCTGAAGGACGGAACCGACGTACCCGGGGGAACACGGAACCGTACCCGGGGAGGGGCCGACACCAAATCCAACTCGTACGCAGAGGGGGGGAAAGAAAACCCCACTCCTTGTAACAATAAGCCCCGCTCAGTGGGAAGAAAAACCCAGGCGGGGTCCAGCGGGGCCCAAGGCCCCCAAGTCAGCCCCTCCCCAGCCTCGAGGTCCGTCACCACAGGACCCGAGGCCGAGTCCTCTCCCCAAGCCCCGACCCCACAAGACAAGGACGGAGCAGCCGGAAAAGCTGGAGGAAGGGGGGCCCACTGGTCAGACCCTGAAGCTTCGGCCGGGAGACAAGACTCGAATGCCTCTGCCGCCCCCCCGGAAGGGGCAACCCCCGAAGCTGCCCGAGTCTCGAGATCAAGTAACCCCTGCTCCGACCCCGAAACCCTCAGACGCTTCGGGGCCGGAAGCAGGGGCGGGGGACCAGAACGAACAGAAGGGGAAGGACGAGGAGGTGCGGACTGAACCAGGATCGAAGCGACCCCCACCCCCAAGTCCGGGTCTCGAAAAGCAAAGCGGGGCAGCCCCGGGGCATCCGGGGAAGCAACCAACCGAGCGCGTTGCAACAGACGAAACCTAGACTGCAACGCACGTGCCGCCTGTACCCGAATAGAATCATCAGAGGATTGGGTAAATTGAGTCACAAGCAAGCAGCAACACTCACAGGACTCAGGGTCGAAAGTATCACCGACCCAACAGGCAGCGTGGCAGAGGCAAAAACAATGAGGGTCACCCTGAGACAAGGGGACCGAGCAACCCTCAAACTCGCACACAGCGAGTGGGGACTCCGGGGTCACATCCATCGGACCCACGCGCCCCCTAGGGGATTCCCAGGGTCCTGAGCGTTTACTTTAAGAGGACTCGCGCTCAGGTAGTCCCAGGCAGGGTGCTGCAAACCGGCGCCCAAAACTACCAAGCAAACTTCTAAAGCTGAACCCCAGGGACGTGTACACTCACGGGGACCTAGCAGGGGGCGCCACCGAGGAGAACAGTGGAAGGGCAAAAACAAACTGAATAAAATGACAGAACCCCCCACCAGGCAAAAAACAAAAAGAAAAACAAAACCCCGCAAGAGGACAGCGAACCCCAAGGAACAGAGCCGGCCGCGATGTCGGGAATTACAAGCTGAGCAGCACCCTGCGCCCCTACCAGTGCAAACTGCCTCTTACCTGCCGGTAACAAGGGAGAACAGAACACCCAAGAGCCCAACAGGCGGCCGAAAAACCGAAAGGTAAAACGGACCAGCAGAGGCAGACCCCGAGGAGCCTGTGGAAGGTGGCCCCAAGCCCCAAGGGCAGTACTTACAGGGCACCTAGGGAAGGCAGCCCTAGGCGCATGCAGCCCGAGTACTGAAGATAACTCCTGGCTCTCGCACCCACAAAACTAACACCACACTCAAAGCACAGTGCAGTAGCGACACCGGAGCCAGAGCACACGACCACCGCCAATAGCATCAGCCTCAAGAACTGAGGTGTGGGTAGCCGGCGCGGGGGGTCTGGGGCTCCCCCTTCCCCCTCCCGGGGAGGGGGGAGCTGCGCAGACAGCGGCGCGGCAGTGTGTGACGTCACACTAATTTGCTTGTTTTCGGTTGGGGAGTTCTATCCACTAGTTCGGTATTAGGTAGCAATTTTAACCAGAATAGGGGTTTGTTTTGGGGCGCTTACCTTTCTGGGTGCCTGTTCCGGTCGATGGCAGACATAGAATGCTTCCAACTACACGGGGGCTTCTATAGGCCATTGCTCCCCTTGCCTCTCTGAGGGGGCCCGGTTCTGGCCGTGGTCCCCGGTAGGCCTAAGAACTCCATACACATGACTGATGCCAAAGTCTGACATTAGCATATCAGCCTGGGATAGCTCCGGGGAGCCGACGGGGCTCCCCCCAGAAATAATAATTAGGAACCTGGTTGTAAAATGAGGAGTGGATTGTGTATAGAGTAGAGCTCTTAATGCATTTAATCCTTTAGCTATTAAGTTGTATGATAGTGTATGTACAAATTGTGGTGTTGCAGATAAAAAGTGGTTAATCATGGGGGTAATTATGAGAGGAAAGAGAGAATCAGATGTTACCTATGATATATCAGTGGGGATGGTGTAGAAGATAAGGGGTGGTTCATCTAAAAAAAAAAAAAAAAGTTTAACAAAGGCAACACAGTATGATAAGAAAGGGAGAATGGAAAGTGATGAAGGTGGTATTGTAAACATGTACCACATCACTATTATCAGGTTTTATAACACCTTGCATAAAGAGCATCATGTTTGTATGTCATAAGTGTAGGTTCAGTGGGGTTCTGCACCTCAAATGGCACGAGGTGTTAGGCACAAGACCGAGCCTCTGGTGAATCGTAAGTGAAATTGTTAGTTTTTAAAAGACAAATTATTCCAAATATTAAAACAGGATTATTGTTTTTAGAAAAGCTTTAATCATCTTTTAAAATTCTGCAACAGTATTCTGACTAGATATGTTTGGTTCGTCATGATGTGAACTGTTTTTATCTGCCCACACCTCACTTGACATTTCCCTTGTGTGGCTTAAACATAGCTTAAAAATGTTTATGAATATGTTTAGGGGGATATAAAAATAAGTTGCCTCAAATGAGCCAATAGGCATTTACGATTCTTTATTCCTATGTTCTTATATACCTCTATTCCCCACAGAAATATGAAACAGGAGTATTGCTAGTAATATATGTGACTGAAGAAATGGGGAAATTACCTAAGCTCATTTCTGATGGCTATCTTGTCTTGTCATTTGTATTAAAATTTTCTCCTCATTCAAAAGGTTCGAAAAAGACTGATGCAAAAACAAGTGGGACAACAAATTAGTGAGCGAGTCAAGAAGATTCGTGAAATTAAGAAGTATGGAAAGAAGGTTCAAGTAGAAGTTGAACAACAGAAGCACAAGGAAAAACGGGAAATGTTGGAAAAGATCAAGAAGTTCCGAAAGGTATGTTTACTTCTTTATAACAAAAATTTATGTGTCGTCTTGGAACTACTTTGAGTTACTGTATCATTATTGTATTTCTTGAGTTTATTACAGAGTATACAGTTGTTTTTATGCTCAGAAGAGTATTTTCCTTGTTTGTTTTGAGGACCTCGTTTAAGTCTACATATTTCTTCTTTTTAAATCATGGGTGCTTTTATCTTACAAGATATATGAAGAAACTTTGAAGGGGAAGCCTTTCAATGATTGGCATGTCAAAAGAATGTCCTTGTAGTAATTAATGTGGTATTAACTGAATTTTTCTTCTTTAGGGCAAAACAGATACTATAGATTTCTTGGAGGATGGTGCTCCACTGCGCGAAGGAGGTAGCAAGACGAAATCTCAGCTCAAAAAGGACATGAAACGGTAAGATGGTACAACTTGTACTAAACCCCACATTAGATGTGTGTGCACTAAGATGGTAAAGTCTATTGTGAACTATTATCACGTAGCATTTGATAATTGTTCAGGATGGATTGAAACAGGTCTTCACTTCTCTAATGTGTGGGTGTTGTGTGCATTTCTTTTGACCATGGAACAAACTTTTCTGCTTAGCATCTTCAAAGTTTTATCAAATGAATATCTGTTTTTAGTTCTATTACTTCCCATATTTTTTCACTCAAACAAAATATGAGAGATAATTGAATTGCAACATTGTTTACCTGATAGTTTTTGATGGGTTCATTGTTATTAGTCTGCAGAGAGGCTCATTTCATTGCAGGTGGGCTCATTGTTATAAAATGCACAAGACAATGGAGGTGTGTGACAAGTGTTTGGAAGTGTTTGTAGTCCCAGTGAAGTAGTGGTAGGACTCTCGCCTTTCATTTCGTGAGCGTTTTGTCCTGGGTTCGTATCCTGGCCAGGGAGGATTTATTAGGCGCAAATCCTTAACTGTAACCTCTGTTTAACCCTTAAACTGTGCATGGCGTATATATACGCCATGATTAGCATGTCCCACGGCGCGCATGTCGTATATGTACGCCATAGGGTGCCAGGCACGATTCAAAGGGCCCGCGTCTACACGGGGATCACATTAGCTTCCTCAGGGCTCTTGTAAACAGACCCATGTTTAAAAAAAATTGTGGACAATATTCTCCGGTGTGAGAGCCACAGTACTGTTGGAGCAACCAAGGCTGGCGCATGCAGCATGACCGAACAGCATTGCTGTTTAGCTTGTGACCACAGCATCGCCGAAAAATGTCAAAATAAATATATAACTGCTATTATTTAGCGATGATAGTATTACAGATGACCCCTGACTGTGATAAAAATGAGCAGGATTGTGATAATAGCAGGATTGTTGTGATAATTAGCGCTGTGGGAGGAGTGATGCTGAGGGACAGAGAGAGATAGCATAGCCACCTGTTATTGTCTGCATTCACCATACCAGCTCAGTGGTTCTCTATGGTGAACACAAATGTAGATACTTGTATATAATGTGTGTATTAGTGTAATAACACTGCAAACAGTATTGTTGGGGAAGAAATTTAGTACGTGTGACCTTGAATGAGTGAGGGCGGCAGCAGCCAGCTGACTGTGTGTAGCGACGACTCTTAGTGCCTGAACTAAGCTATATCAGCTTAGTTGTACAGTTGTGGTGAACAAAACGTATAGATACTTATATATAATGTTTGTATATAGTGTAATAACACCACAAACAGTATTGTTGGGGGAGAAATTTTAGTGTGTGTGAACTAGAATGAGTGAGGGAGGCAGCCGCCAGCTTACTGTATGTAGCGACGTCTCTTAGTGCCTGAACTAACTATATCAGCTTAGTTGTACAGATGTGGTGAACAAAACTTATGGATACTTATATATAGCATCTGTATATAGTGTAAAAACACCACAAGTGGAATTGTTGGGAAAACACAAATTAATATTTTTAGAAGATGAAATAATTTTTTAGATTTTTTTTCTTGTGCACAGGGGTGTAAATCTCCTCAGGACCCCTTAGCAGCTTAAGGGTTAACCCAACAGTAAAATGGGTACCTGGGGCCAGATTCATGAAGCAGTTACGCAAGCACTTACGAACGTATACACCTTTCCTCAATCTTTGACGCCTTTGGTTACATTTATTAAACAGTTTACAAGCATGAAAACTTCCCAATCAACTGTTGTTATTGTTATAACAGCCTCCTGGTGCTTCTGAGCTCATTAACTGTTTAATAATTGTAAACAAAGCGCCAAAGATTGAGAAAAGATGTACAGGTTCGTAAGTGCTTACGTAACTGCTTCGTGAATCTGGCCCCTGGTTGTTAAACAATTTGGCAGGTCATATTCCGGGGAACATAGGATTAAGGACTTTCTCCTGTTGGCAGATATCCTGCAGTTATTGGCATGCTCTTTACCTTCCACCTTCAGGCAGTGTTTGCTAAGCTTATTGGCTTGAGCTCTGTGCCTGCATGCCTCTTCTGCAGTGGCAGTGGCTCACGTTTTTCCCGTTATCCTTCTGTCATGTGGGATGTCATAGCAGGCTTTGTAGCATGGTCTTTGGATAGCTCCAGGAATCTACTTGGGTGGTTTCCCCTCTAGCTCTATTTTAGCTGTTGACACAGGAGTTCTGGCTGAAGCTCCTGGCTTCTATTCTCTCTTTGGGTGGTTTGACTGGGAAGGTTTCCTTGTGGCCTCGTAAATGATATAGAGGCTCTGGTTCCTCCACATGTATGGTTTATGTCTTATTGTCCTGCCTGTATTCTGTGGTGGGCTAGCACCTTTCCCTCTTAAGGAAGTACAGCAAGTCTAGGTTGTTTTGTGCAACCTTTTGTGGTAGGTCCCCTCAATAGTGTGGAGGGAAGACTTCTTCAGATTTTTTACTGGATTTAGACCTGGGTCTCCTGGGCTTGGAGACCACTGAACAAACCTTTTTGGCATTTATTCTGTTTTTAATTTTTTTTATTTTCGTTTTGTTATTTAAGAAACATGGAGCAGCCTACCTGCCGAACACTGAACGAACCCTTTGCTATAAGACAAATGAAAAACAAATATTGAACAAATTTGAAGAAAAATGTCATAAAGGTTTGTTCAGTAAACCATAAAATGTCATAAAGATTTGTTATGTAAGGTAGGCTGCTCCATTATTTAAAACATCGAATATCATGTTGATGTTTTTCGGTGGTAGAATGGATTAATTTGATTCCCATTATTATCAATGGGGACATTTTTTTGTACGACGTCCGTTTCACATGACGATCACGGCGCCGGAACGGATTAGATTTGTTATTCGAGGTTCCACTGTATTACCATTTTCTATGGCAAATGTAATACAAAATATTTTTTGCATCATTGGATTCATGTAGGATATTTAATAATCCTCTGCACTTTTCTCCCAAAGGGCTCGAGGAAAGAGAATTATGAAAGATAAGAAATATGGGTTTGGCGGCAAGAAGCGGAACATTAAAAGAAACACCGCTAAGAGTTTTGCAGATGACCAAAAAATGCCAGCAATGCTAAAACCCGGAGCTCGAAACAAGAGGAAAGGACGTCCGACAAAAGGCAATAAAAATAAATCTAGAGCTAGATCTTGAGTAGCTAACTGAAGACAGGACTCTCACCAGTCAATCCACTTGGAGAATTTTTTTTTTTAATGATCTTTATTTAAAAGTGTACACTATTTATGAAATAGTCTGTTTAAGACCTTACTGGTACCAAAATAAAATGACATACACAATGTATTTTATTTTGAAATAATTTTTTTATTGTATCCTGGAAGCTACAATGAGATTTATAACAGCTTGTAGTAATAATCTGTGTATTAAATTGGTGTATAAGGTATGTGTACACATGTGCATACATGTGTGACAGACACACATGTGTATATGGACAGAAGCAGTCGTAGCCCAGTTGTGGGAGCGTTCTTGGCGGCCTTGCAGTCCAGAGCTCGACCCAAAGTCAAAAGTTGCTTCTTAGAGGGGATGGAGAGTGAGGCTAGTAGAGCAGCCAGTGCTCAACCCTCATCCATCATCCCAACGGGTTCAATTTTAAACAGTGGTAGACGGAACAAGGTAAGTGAGAAGGTGGTGGAGGCCAAAACCATCAGTACCTTCAAAGTGTTATATGACAGTGCTGGGAAGATGGGATACCACGAGCGTAGCTCTCATCCTGTAACTACACTTAGGTAATTACATTACACTTGTGTACACACAGAGATCACACTAACGTGATGCACTTTGTTCATTTGTTCATTTACACTTGTGTAATTCGCACACACTTTTTCTCTTTCTAACTAAATTGTGGCGCTGCATAGTACTGCTGCACAGTGATGCCGCTCCTTACAGCACAGTGATGCCACTCCGTACAGCACAGTTGTCGTGCTGCATGGCAGCACTGTTGAACACAGCATGGCACCCGGTTCTATAGAATGGCATAACTTTTGTGTATATCTCAAAGTTAGCATTAAGGGGGAGTGGAGGTGCCTGTTTCCTACATCATGCTGCTTTCTAGCTACTGCCTGGGCAGGTGGGTGTCCCCATAGCCACACCCGCCTCCTGCAGCAGGCTCCTTGTGGGCTCATCCTTGGCTAGGGCTCCAACAAATGTTCTCCTGGGGAAAAAGTAAGAGTAGTAGTCAGTCAGGTATGTGAAACTGATACGTTGCATTTTTGCAAATGAACTGAAGTTATAAACAAAGGCAAGAGCTTAATCCTTTATATGGGTGGTGTATGATGTTTGTGTGTATTGGGTGCTCCAGAATTTGTTTCCAATTTGAATATCAATTATTTATTAATGTTCCACTTGTGTGAGGCATGAAGACAACAGCCTAGATAAAAATATAGGGTCTCGTAGTAGTTAGTTTCGTTCTCAATTTACAGTTGGGGATCCTGGGTGGGACAGAAATGGTTGGGCATCTGTTCACCTAGAGTAAGTAGGTACCCGGGAGTTAGGCAGGCACACATCAGCTGCATCTGGGAGGCCAGTACCTGTAGTTCAACCTTGGGGGTACCTTGATACAAGCCTACTTGATTATTCTGAGGATCAATGCCCCAGATGGCCCAGTCTCTTACTAGGCCTCCTGGTTGCTAGTCTTATCAACCAGGTTATTCGATGTGGCTGCTCGCAGCCTGGTTGATTAGGTATCCTTTGGAGGTGTTGTCAAGTTCTTTTTTGAACACTGAGAGTTGTTGGCCAGTTATGCCCCGTATGTGTAGAAGTGTTGAAATGTCTTGGGCCTTTGATGTTGATCAAGTTCTTTCAGCATGCGTATTGCACTATGGTTTCAGTGGGGCAATTTTGCACATCCTGCCATGTCTTCTGGTCTCGTTTGGGGGTATTTTTGTGTGCAGGTATGGAATATATATATATTAGAGTATGTAATCAATATTGTAACTTTTTTTGTGTAATGACATTTTCAAATAAAGTTAGATAAATATACACACATGCCAAAAGAATAGGGGTGGTAGGAGAAGAAAATACCAAAGTGTTCAGTGAGGATCCACAAGGTCTTCTCTGAGTACTCTTTATTTTCTTCTCTGAGGCTATGGGTCCCTACACTTGCACCAGAGGTAGTACCCCTTCTAGGTTTTTATTAGAGTATTATATTAGATTTATTAATTAATATTTTTTGTGTAAAATATGCATCTCCCACCTGCACTAAAAGGAATACAGATTTAAAAATGTTAGGGGATCTCAGAAATTTTCCAGCTCAGCAATTTCTGCAGTTTTGAATGAGGCAGTTAATGTGCAACAATATTCTACTCTAGAGAGCACCAATATCTTTAAAAAATATCATCATTGGTGTGGCATCTCTTGTTTGGAAGGTTCTTGTTACCAAGCCTGTCATTTTTCTTGAAGCTGTGACAGTAACTTTATTGTATTCATTAAAAGTAAGGTTCTTCCTACACGATTAATCCTAAATCTTTTACGTTGTGTTTTCATTCAATAGTGTGGCTTGGCTGTTTTATGTGGTTTCTGCTTTGATGTTTTTATATATTTTTTCCAGAGCCCAGTAATTGGAACGTCATTAAACATCATGTTATTTTCTGCAGTCCACTGAAAGACTTAATTAACATAGGATTGGAGGTTTGCTGTGTCTTCTAGAATTTTCACAAGAGTAGACAATATAGTTTCATCCCGGAGAGGATGATACTGTACAGTACTAGAGTTGTATCCTTGTATCTCCTCATATCAGATACTGTAGTTGTATCCGATATGAGGATGAGGAAAAGTACCAGAGCAAGCACGGTACCTTAGGGGACTGAGCTTTTCATGGTGAAATATTCAGTTTAGTTTGTTGACAGTTACATTGTGGGGTTCTGTTAGTTAGGAAGTTACAGATCCATCTCCCTACTTTGCCAGTACAGTAATTCCATTTGTGCGCATGAAGTATACACTGTACATGTATATATATTTATATACAAGCTTCCTGTCCATGAAAACTGAAATTATTAATATTAGTTAATATAGGAAAAAATTTGAAACGGGCAATTGTTGCCTTTAATGGTAATATACAAATAAAATGGGGAAGGAAATTATCAGATATCTTGCTTACATGCTGTTTGGCATTAGCTATTTAGCCATTTCCTGGTTTTCAAACTACATTGGTTTATTTTCTAAGGATTGGGTGAAGCCATAAGCATTTGGTGGGAATATTAAGTCTTTTTGAATTCTTCAATAAATTCAATTGAACATGTTGAAAATTCAAAAGAATTTAATATAAGGGGATCTTGTTAATGCATTAATCAATAATTAATAAAGTTTGAAGAAAACTTTGAAAACAATTCATTTTTGTTGAAAAAGTGAAAAAGATGTTTTGATATACTTTTAGTTAATATAGGAAGTCTGATTTGTCAATACAAGTACAGTAGTGAACTCATTGTACTATACAAACATGAGGAGTTTTGCAGCAATGGATCCTAGCCAGCCGTGGTGTTTTGTGAGCGCGTTGGCCGCCCTACACACGCCTGCACGTCCCTCTTCAGATGAAACCCGCCCATCACCCAGGTCAACTAACCACATCTGCCGTAAACAAAAATGAATTTAGAGCATCTGAAACGTATGCTTATACTGTATGTTTTGTAAATGATCACCCTATGATTTTGTGACTATTAGAATATAATGCTGGTTTTAGCAGGAGGAAAATGACAGTTGACACCATATGTTAAGAAGAGAGCATATATAAAGACAAACTCTCAGTACCCTGTACAAAGACTCATTGTCTGTACAAAATTTCAGTTCCAGAAGGGCTTGAAATTAAGATCACTAATATAAATAACAGTTTACATCTTGTAAACTAAATTTCACATTAGTTAGTCAATCATGGACCATCATCAAGTTACATTTGATAATGGTCTGAAACATTGTCTTGTTCACTTCTATAATGTCTGGGTGTTTTGTGGATTTGTTCTGACAACAACTCTGTAGCTTCTTAATTAGTTAGTTTGAAGTTTTATCAAATTAATATCAAGTTTTATTGCCTCACTAGTAGTGTGTAGTTGTATTCTATATTTATCTACTCAAAGAAAAGATGAAATAATTACTATTTATTGCAACACTGTTAATCTGATTGTCTTTGATTAATTCACTGTTCATTAGTCTTCACAGGATTCATTGTTTACCTGTCTGTAGAGGGGCACATTTCCACATAATGGATAAAAGTTTTTAGAATTAGACAAGAATGGGACTTAATGATTTTTCTTAGGTATAAAGATAAGGTAAAGGAGAATTTCCTATAGAACAGTTCCCATGGTGTCATAAATGAAATAGAACTGCCTAAAAGATTTTGCATAGATAGTATGTACTACTAAAAATATTTTCTGATGTGACACCTTGTTTGCTGTCATTATTTTCTTACGGACATTTTCCTAATGGAAAATGGTGTATGAAGAACTTGACGAAATAATGGTAGGTTTATAAAGCAGAATCAGAGTGGAGACTGAGGGCAAGAGACAGCAGATGGCCAGTAGCAACATTAGACAGAGCTGTATACAGTAGTATAATAATTACTGAAGAGGTAAAAGACACCTACAGACACTAGACAACAAAGGCAGTTGGACCAGACCAATATGGCTGCTGGAAGAGGCTGCTAAAGTAGGCTGCAGGGGTACTCTTACCTGTAAACTAGGATTTTGAATAAAATATTACAGTAGAGAGCTCCTGTAAAAAGGCAAATTTTAGTCTTAACATTGAATAAAGAGACAGGAACAATGAGCTTGCATACATTACTTGGAAAGTACTGAAGAAAGTAATAAGGAAGCGTATGTTGGAGAACCTGGAGAAGAAAAACTTTATAATTATAAGGCAATATGCCTGATCAATTTCATAGTTCAGTGACAGCCTGGCTCCAGGCTAGACATGGGAAGAACACTGAACTGACTACAGAGTTTCACAAGTACAATTTGAGGAAAAAAAAAAGACTGGATAGACTACATTCTTCTTGACTCAAAAAGCATTTAATATTGTTCCTCATAAAAGATTAGCACATAAGTTAGAGCAGCATGGCCCATATAACTACAAAGATTTTGAATGCGACAAGAAAGTACCTGACTTTTTTTTTCTGAGAGTAAAGAGGATGGAGAGGCACAGATGAAGGGAAAGTTTAGAAATGGGAAATACTGTAGTGAGAGTTATGATAGCAGGCGGGCTGTCCAGGGGAAAACAACGAGCTATTGTCAGTGTGTCGGTATATGAGAAGTGGGTTCCTCAAGGCTTCAGCAACAAAACTGACAACTCTGTATACAAAACAAGATTGATCTCACAAACATTAAAGTTAGTGAATAGAGGTACAGTAATTTATAACATTAATCCAGACTAGAAAAAAGATAATTGCTTTTTACACATGAAGCAATTTATTTCTAAGTTGCCAAATCTCAACAATGAAAAGCTCACAAGATGCATCTTCACCCATACAGTTATGCATCCACCAATGAGTTAACACATTAAGTCTTAAATACAGCTAGTAATATTTGGGAAGAATGGAGAAAGCTTCCACAATTTCCAGACTTTTATTCCCAGGGGCAACCACTGGAAATACTGTAGTAGCTATCATGAAAATTTAGGTATACTGTATATACATGCAATACTGTACTTAGTTTTCAAGAAGGTTCAACATACAAAAAAAAAAGTATTCTTGAAAAATGAATGTGTACGAAAATAACTTAAACCCAGCATACTCGTTCAAAGCAGGTATCCATGCATATGTTACTAACCGCCATCTGAGGACCAATGTGGGCGAAATCTTGAAGGATGCTCGAGCTGCTCCCTAGGTCATGGTTTATGTCGTCAGTTTCTGCAGCTGCAGAGAAAATACATTTGTAATAAGATACAAACCACAATCTGTGGGTTTAACATTTAATTCATTACGCTCTTCGGTAATTCAAAGTTGGGCCTCAAAAGTACAGCACTCTTGTCCCACTAACCAGACCATGGATGCTCAAAATACCGAAGAATCTCAGGAGTACTTAACTTATCCAACTGAGACTCTTAAACCTTCCCTGGAACACCACTAAGGTATCTGGAGGTTTCTCACCCCCTTCATCCTTGTTATATAAGATGTAATCCACAATAGTATGGATAAACAAATCCACAAGGGCCTTGATGAGAGTTCGAACCTATGCGCTGAATGATCCTCCAGCACATAGGTTCAAACCCTCATCAAGGCCCTTGTGGATTTGTTCATTTGATATATCACGTTATTGTGATTTCTGTGTGTAGTATGGGTAATACTATTACAGTCAGCATCCACAGTCAAGCTGGTAGGACAACAATCTTATAATTTTGTTATATTGTTATACTTGTATGTGAATCTCTAATGATCTAAATGAATGGAAAAGTATTATTTTATATAAACAAGTAAGCTTTGTCATAAACAAAAAATATATATAATTTTGAAAGTAAAAACTGCTATATATTCATGATGGCTTGGCACTTTCCCCTGATAATTCCCTTCTAAATAAAAATCTGTACAAGTTTTTAAATAAAATATATAATTAGAGAAAGAACTGCAGTAGCTGGAAGATCAGACTATATGTCCTTAGTCAAGTAATATTTTATACCGCATTTAAGATCCAGATATTTACCATCCAATCCCTCATACATGATAAAATGAGTTGGAACAATTTGTATGAATTGGCACCGAAGGAGCTATGTTGTCTTGGCTCTTGGCCAAAGGAAGTAATTTGACTTAATCCATCGAGTGCCATGAGGCATACATTGATTGGGAGCAAGAGATGGGGCCCCTCACTACCAACACCTGAATGTGGGCGGGTAACTCACAAGATGAGGTTTGTGTCACCGGATGGTGCCTTCCAAACTCCATGCAGGTCTAGTTGAGATACTTTTGAGTTCATGTAGGCTCAGTTGGTAGTCAATGATAATATGTTCAGGTATACCATGTTCATGGTAAGTAGCCCAGGTATGCTGGTTCGATCCCATAATACATTCTCATATTTTGAATGAACAGCATGTTAAAATTGATGAATGCATCTTTGGGGTCGATTGCTGTATGGAATGGACTTGATCTGAGGACGGGTTGCATCATACAACCTCAATATTTTTTTGTTCCACTTGTGCCTGATCTTGCTCACGCATCTGACACCACCATACAGTGAGTAAATACATGCATACGGTCGTGTAGAGCCGCTTAATCCAGATTTAGTTTGATCTCTAAATTGGATTGGCAAGCGAGATTGAAATCTGTTTACTCAATCGTTATTTCTCTCAAAACATGTAATTGTGTTGTGGGTCTGGCAGCACAGTGGTCTACATCCTTGGGTTGTAATCAATGGACCCAGGTCCAATCCCAGGGTAGGATAAACAGTTTAGTGCTTACCTATCAGTGACTACAGGGAATGGGGGGGGGGGAGGAAAATCTGGCATTTTATGTCGTACCTCCTAGCCGTTTATACCTGGCGTGGACATACCCACACCAGATATGATGTGGGTACATAAAATACCCCCCTCTCAATACTGGCATTTTCACAATAATTCTTTTTAAAGTTGTGGAAATGAGTTAAAGCTTAAAGTTAAAGCTTTTTAAAGTTTCTTTTTAAAGCTGTATGCAATTGGCTTTAACATGTCCAGTGAATTCAAGTTGCCGACCTTACGCGTACAAGGAACGAAAACTTCCTTACATCTCTTCTACTCAATTGCATATCCATCTTCCACCGATGTTCCTTTGTTCTGCGTCTTTTTAATTTGAATAGACTTCCTATATCCACTTTATATATTCCTCAAGATCTTGTATGTAATTATCATAACCCATCCGTTTCTTCTCCTCTTAAGTTGTAAGTCTGAGTTCTCGCAACCTGTCCTCATTTGGACATTAATGATACCCTTGGCATGTTCAGCCCTTCCTCCCTCCCTTCATTGGCATTTATCCTTTCACATAATGCCTCTGTTCACCTTGCAGTTAATAGGCAACTGGGAGTTGGGCAACTATTATGGGTTGCATGCAGGTGATGAGTCACAATAACGTGGCTGAAATATGTTGACCAGACCACACTAGAAAGTGAAGGGACGACGACATTTTGGTCCGTCTTGGACCACTCTCAAGTCGAGGAGTTGCATATATCATATACAGTATATATATATTACGGGTGGCATCCTGGGGAAGGTCATTAGTTGGCCTGAGGGGACCTGGGTTCCCCTGGTACAGTACAGTACAGGCACACTCTCAAAAAATGGGAATTATTATTTATCTAACTGTGAAAACAACTGTCAAATTAGTACTTTGAAACAATAGGAGTTTGGATAGGTGCCTTTTTAATTTTTATCTTTTTTCTTAGTGCCTAATGGGCCCCCTGTATGCAACTGGTGGTCATATCAGGGTCTTCTTGTTTCTGACACAATGCGGGCTTCCTCCAAGCCTCCCCCATTTCTTGTATGACAAGGTCAAGGCTTCTTCTAAGGTTCTTTTAACACTTCACAGACCCATGCTAAAAACTTTATCTGCACCTAGTATTTAATATTTTTGTGAATACAGTAATTAATTTTAGTTCATTTATTGCATACAGAAGAAAATGTATACCAGGTTTCGAGGGGTTTTATATCTTAATACAATAATATGCTATCAAGCTCGACAAGGAAATACTATATAATAAATATCCCAAGATTATTTAAATAACATATAAAGTACAGTAAAAAATCTAATTATCAGAAGAAAGCACTAACCCAGTAAGACTATATATATTTACCTAGAAATGGACATGAGGACAAGGAACTGGGATATGAGGTACAGGAGCTGGGAATGAGGACAAGGAGCTGGGATATGAGGACAAGGAGCTGGGATATGAGGACAAGGAGCTAAGATATGAGAACAAGGGGCTGGGATATGAAGTCAAAGAGCTGAGATATAAGGGCAAGTAGCTGAGATATGAGGATAGGGTGAAAAATGATACCCAACCACTTGGACAATTGGGGATTGAAGATAGGCCATTGCTCCATTAAAGTTCGAGGGGATGGACACTTATCAAAAGCACATGTTAATTATTATATAATGTATCACTATAATATCAAACACTTAGTACAGTACAATAACACAAACACTTAATTTAGTACCAGTTCTACATTTGTATTTAATTATATGATAAATGTTTTGTGCTTTTGGTAAAAGCACATATTAATAATTATTATATAATGTATCAACGTAATATCAAACACTTAGTACAGTACAATAACACAAGCACTTAATTTAGTACCTGTTAGATGTTCCAAGGGCTCCATCTCCCTGTCAGGAATAGCAGATGCCATTACGTTTTCCACTCTTATTGTGTCTCTGGTCTCATCTGCTCCATCTTCGTTATTCCTCTCTGCCTTCCTGGTCATATCTTTACCTCTGTTATCCTCCTCCTCTTCTTGTGGTTCATCGGCTGTTTCTCCTGTCCACTGTAAGCTCTTCAACACAGTTTGGATTATGTCCTCCCTGAACATAGTTGATGGATGGATATAGGTAAGTTTTGTTAATGCACAATGAAATCATAAAAGCATAATATATCTATTGAGAAAATCTTTGGGAGCAGCGTGATAAGATTGAACTTGTGTTCAATGTGGGTCATGGTGTTGTGGGTCATCTCAGACACATGTATCATGGTCTAGTGGGTGTGTCTGGTGTTGTGGGTCACCCCAGACACATTTATGGTCCAGTGGGTGTATCTGGTGTGACACAGGGCGAGAGTTTCTTAAATCTTTTATCAATGTCTTATCTCTTGACTCCTTTTACTTCTCGATTTTGTCTTTCTTACATAAAGTAACACATCTGTGTAAAAACATGATACCTTTGAGAAATTAGAATCAAATGTTTTGGTAATTTTGCCTGCGAGTTTGAGGTTATAAAACCTTTTAACACTTGAATGGCCAAGTAGATTTGGATTAAAATTAAGCCTTGGGCTCATACAGTGGAACCAACGTTATTTGAGTTCCCCGTTTGCTGAATTTTCAGGTTAAAAGACGATTTTAACGATTTTCCACCCTCATTTATGTCTTGTAAAAGACATAATTTGGCCTGCTGTCATTGCCTGAGAAGTCTCTTTATGAGTTTGTGGATACTCATTTGAACCAAATAACACAAATTATAATTGTTCTTACATATAAAGTAAGTTATTATTATTATTATTATTGAGAAAATTCAATTCAAATTCAAACCCGCAACTAAGGCGTTACAGCCAGCCGCTCACCTTCGCCTCACCCCAAGGGGAATTTCTTCATTGATATATCGTATCATGTTGGTGTGAGTTTCTGTGTATTATTATTATTGCTAGTGTTGCAACTACTACTACTACTTACAAATAGTTCTACATTTGTATTTAATTATATGATATTTTGACTTACCAGTGAGCACTGCTGAGATCAGCTGTTAGAGGAATATCAGAGTTGACGTCTTTCCTGCGTCTGCGCCGACCGTTCTTAACATAATAATCTATGATGCTCTGAGAAGAGATGGAGGAGCTTTATGGTAACACTTGAAATTTGGGAATGTATTTAAAATCTTAATACAAATTAGGCTACAAACAAGTGAATGTACATTACATATATATTTTTTTATTGGTATAGATATCCTAACAATCTTGGTGGTTTTCTTAGTTTTATGGGATAGCGATTTGGATTATTGTAGTATGTGTTTTATCACCTGAATTACTTGCCTAAAATTACTTACAGGTTTGAATTTTAGCTCATGAGCCTTGCCTGGTAATACATGATTTAGCAATTATTCTGCCTGGATAATCTTGCATGGTGAATTTTTCAATTTGTTATTCTCTCTCCTTTCATGATTTATGAAGATTAAGCCACCCAAGAGGTGGCACGGGCATGAATATCCCGCAATATCTTTTTTTCCTATTGGTAACTTTGTTTTATACCTTCCCTCCCTCCCTCCCTCCCACCCGCTCTCTCACTCTCACTCTCTGAAAGATACGAATAGAAAAGAAAAGTGATTACTGAGAAGTTTCATATTGATATATAGTTCAATGACAGCCACAAAAATTCATCATAGCAAGAGGCTAGATAGATTGCATTTTCTTAGACTCAAGAAACACTTTATAATTCCTGACAAAAGGCACGTGTATAAGATGAGAGACAAGTTAGGATAACTGGGCAAACAATGAATTGGATAAAGGAGTACCTGAGAAACAAAATACAAAGGTTCACACCGTCATTCAAACAGGTGTCGAGCTGATTGGTTGTGATAAATGTGGTCCCCCATGGCTTGAGCCTAGGATCACTATTGTTTCAGATTTATGTGAATGACTTCCTTAAGGGAGTGAACTCATACATAGCAATGTTTGCAGATTCTGCAAAGGGAAGGGGGGAAGGGAACTATCATGGGAGAGCGCTAAGCCATTATGACTATATAGCACTGGGAAGAGGATCAGGATAAGGATTTGGAATGGGACGGGGGGGGGGGGGGGGGGGGGGGAGGAATGGTGCCCAACAACTTGGACGGTCGGGGAATTGAACGCTGACCTGCATGAAGTGAGAACGTCGCTCTACCGTCCACCCCCAAGTGGTTGGGTTCTGTAAAACTAATGAGGACTATAAAAGCCGAGGAGGATTGTGGAGTACTACAAGAAGAACTCGACAAACTCAGGGTGTTGGCAAACAAATGGTTGCTAGAATTCAATCTCAACAAGTGTAGAGTAATGCAAATTGGAAAGGGGGAATTTGGAGACCTAAAGGAATCTACAAAAATAAAGAGAAAGATGATACGAATGATACTTAAGAACTGACACAAGGGGCTCTTTCATGACCACAGACAGTGTGAGGCCATTACTACAATACTAGGGTATGTGGAACTGGCATGGGACCTGCATATCGTGAAGCACAAAAGTAAACTTGAGGAGTACTACAAAAGTTTATGATGAAGACTTGTCTGAATTAAGAGGACTAAGCGACAGGTCAAGCTTAGGAAATTCAACATCACTTTCTAAAAATGAACAAAGGATATCTAATGTTTACATAGAAAATAATGGGGGGGGAATAAATTTGGTGGACATAGATGAAAGCTAGAAATACAAATAAGCTATAGAAACAAAAGGAAATACTTGTAGCCAGTAATGATTTACCAGTAAAGTACACTGAAAAAAGTTGTGGAAGTCACCGTGATCCACAACTTCAAGAGAGATACGAAAAATGGCTCCAGATGTCAAGAAAGTTTACCCAGAAAACGCACCGGTTCCAGAAAGGCTAGGCTAGAGACAGAGGGAGTCGGGTTATACTCCCCCATACATACTGTGTGGGCAGCACGCCTTACAGTACCACCTTCTCTTCCTATGTTTCCATCACCACCTAATCCACCTTTGTCTGTACACATTATATCTTTGTATTAATTGCATCTCTTGTACTCATTACACTCCCTGTTTTCATTGCACCCTCCCGTAGGCCCCCCTCACTGTAATCCCTTTTCCCATTGCTTCCCGAAGACTTTTATTGTAATTCCTGTTATAATGACCTACTGTAGACCTACTCATTGCACTTTGTGCTCTACGCACCCTCCCCTGCACCCACACTCTAGTCATGTCGTAGTTACTATATTCTGGTGTCTATTGAAAATGTCAACTTAGTAGGTATAGCTATTATTTGCCCATTGTTCTTCATGTATTGACCAGTGCCCTATTATTATTATTATTATTGTTATTATTATTATTATTATTATTATTATTATTATTATTATTATTATTATTATTATTACATTTGTATTATTATTTTCTTCATAGATACTCTATTGCTAATAACTATATGGTGATGATGATGTTGATGACAGGTATCATAATTATTTGTTTTTATGTCAGTAATTAATACAGAATAAAACTTGAAATCACAAAACTTCTATATGGCTTACTTGAAAGTTTGACAGTAAGCCAATGAAGCCTATCAATGCCACGGCCTCGGAACAGTCAAATGACTCATAACTGTTGAAGAAATTTAGGGAAACATTTTAGAGTTGGTGTGCCTGCCATACTGATACAGTATATATCTGAAATTACTGAATGAAAAATTACACTGTTTGGCAAAATGATCTTTTAGAGATGCTACTGTAATTATATTTTGGTGAGGCTAGATTATGTATTAACAATTTACATGAGGCGTTATTTACCACTAAATAACATTAAATCCAGTACAAGATCAGATCTCACAATCATAGTGCAAGAGCAAGTTTGATGTCATTTTGATCATTATCTTTGTAACAATGATTAAGCAACTTGGATACATTCTCGCATCTGCTGGAGGAAGGGTGAAGCAAGATTATCTTACGAGTCTCGTGCTGTAGCAGACGACGCCGTCTCGTTCACAAACATCTCTTTCTTCGGGAAATGTTGCAGTGATTTATCCACCTTTTTTGTCTGGAATCATTTGAGAAATGGAATGTGTCAGTCTTGATGTGTTACATAATAATATATTTAAATACAAACAAAATCTTGGTGAAATGTTTGTTTGTTACCCCATGCACAAGGAAATCACAATAACATGATGCTTACGAGAAAATCATTGGAGCAGGACGTGGGTTCGAACCAGTGTCCTGGATAACCCAGTCGTGCACCTTTTCTTTTGTCTCTTCTCTTCTGAGTTTACGTTTGCATATGAATATGTATGCATGTGTGTGTGTGTGTGTGTGTGTGTTTACTAGTTGTGTTTTGCGGGGGTTGAGCTTTGCTCTTTCGGCCCGCCTCTCAACTGTCAATCAACTGTTTACTAACTACTTTTTTTTTTCCCACACCACACACACACACCCCAGGAAGCAGCCCGTGACAGCTGACTAACTCCCAGGTACCTATTTACTGCTAGGTAAGAGGGGCACTTAGGGTGAAAGAAACTTTGCCCATTTGTTTCTGCCTCGTGCGGGAATCGAACCCGCGCCACAGAATTACGAGTCCTGCGCGCTATCCACCAGGCTACGAGGCCCCCTCCACCAGGCTACGAGGCCTTCTCCACCAGGCTACGAGGCCTCCTCCACCAGGCTACGAGGTATATGTGTGTGTGTGTGTGTGTGTGTGTGTGTGTGTGTGTGTGTGTGTGTGTGTGTGTGTGTGTGTGTGTGTGTGTGTGTGTGTGTGTGTGTGTGTGTGTATCTAACCAAGAAAAAATTATGGTTGCCCAAGGCATGAGGCTAGATGCTTGCAAATGTTATATGTAATTATCTAAAGAAGGCGCCAAGCTCGTGAGCCTATGTAGCATGGAAATATGATAAGCGGGTCAGGATTGGTCCCATTGCCCCCCTTTTAAGTAGATCAGCTCCGATTGTGACTCCCATGAAGTCTGAAATATTTCTTATATGTTCAGAGAGTTGTTCAGCTGCTCATAATATTGCATGTTCAGATGACAGATTTACATTCTGGGGGTTCCTAACACTTAAATGGAACAACCCTTTGGGGTTTGACATGGGCAGCTCCGGGTACCTCATCCAGTACATAATACTGTATGTGTATATTGTATAAGAGACATCGCATTACTGTATATGCGATAATGAGGATATTCATAAATGAGTTAATTTATTTTAAAGTTAAAAGCTCGAATCAAGATTTTCTTTCTTCTATTATTTGTTTAAAAAAATTGCCTTCTCTTTGTGTTGATAAAGACTATTGAGTAACGGTCAAATCTAATTTTTTAACGAATGACGTCACTAGATTGCATATGCAGTAACACCAGTTCCTATAACAACCATGATCTCTTCTATAATCTCTAGTTTCTTATATGACTTTATGTTCCCTGACCACACTAATGCCCAGAGTTCCTTGACCACACCATGTTGTGGTGTTAGATTCAGCTACTCGGAACACAAGTTGCAAGTAGCACGGGCTATGGCGAGCCCGTAGTGGACTTGCCTGGCACAGGAGCGGGGCAAGTAACACGGGCTATGGGGAGCCCGTAGTGAACTTACCTGTCACAGGAGCGTGGAAAGTAGCACGGACTATTACGATCCCGAAATGAACTTACCTGCCATAGGAGCGGGGCAAGTAGCACAGGGTATGGCGAGCCCGTAGTGAACTTACCTGCCACAGGAGCGGCACTGTACGGTGTGTGGACCACACTAATTATTCTCATCTGTATCGTTAAGAACTAGTTTGAATATGCACAGAAAACAAGTTGCGAACGCTTCGTAGATTATTAAAATAATAATTACCGTTGTTGGGGACAGGAAGCCTAGGTAGGTACCCCTAGGCCAACCTTCCCTAATTTACTTCTAAGTGAACAGAAACAGCAGATGAACCGTAACGTACCCAACCGTTTCTGTCCTGCCCGGGAATTGAACCCAGGTCTATCGGGTTTGAGCCGAGGACGAAGACCACTGTGCTACAGGGGGAACTTCACAAAATCACCTGAACTTTTGCCAAATAAGAGTTGTATGAAAGTTTACCGCTAATTGTAAACTGTTTAGCTAAAAACACATTAGAAGCAAAGACCAACCCCATCTGTCTGCCGCCGTCCACAGGACAGTATGGAGCCCGTCCAGTGTGTGTGTGCATGTCTGCCACCGTCCACATGACAGGTATGGAGCCCGTCCAGCGTGTGTGCCTGTCTGCCGCCGTCCACAGGACAGTATGGAGCCCGTCCAGCGTGTGTGTGCATGTCTGCCACCGTCCACAGGACAGGTATGGAGCCTGTCCAGTGTGTGTGTGCATGTCTGCCACCGTCCACAGGACAGGTATGGAGCCCGTCCAGTGTGTGTGTCTGTCTTCCACCGCCCACAGGACAGTATGGAGCCCGTCCTCCCGAGCTCTCACAGCGGGACCGACAAGAGGCCGCCCGTTTTGTTCCAGTAGAAAAAATGCAAAAACAAAACACGTCCAGCTGAAGAAAACGGGACTCACGAGCTAATGAACCCGCAGATTTAAAGTGACATTAAAACAAAGAAACAACAAACTACGAAGGAATATCCCAGCCACAAAAATGTGCTCGAGTTCCGTCGAATCAACGTCGTTTGCCCAACGTGTGACCACTGGTCGGGTCGAGTCGGGCTTACTAAAAAAAAAGTACCGAAGCCGTTGTGGTGAGAATTGATCAGGTCCGCGAGCCTACTTATTCAAAATTTAGCTCCCAGAAACATTCCAATGTAACCAATCCACTTCTATAGCCTCTCCAGGCCCCATGGTCGGTAAACGTAAATTTTACGGTGCTTTTTTTAAGTTTTGGCCAACAGCCTACTGTTTTGAGAGATTGGTCGACAACGTTACAAATACAATGTAGTTGAGAATACAATGTAGTTGAAAATACAATGTAGTTGAGTGGAGGAGGAGGCAGCAGCCAGGAGTGAGTGCAGAGTCTGCGAGACGGCTCCCAGGGTCATTGTTACCATCACTGATGACGGGCTTCTCACTAGGGTCCTGTGGCACGGTGGTCTACGTCCTGGGCTCATAATCTAGGATCCCGGGGTTCGATTCCCTAGCGGGACATAATATGAAAGGACACGTGTCGTTTCATCTGATGCCTCTTATTCACCTAGCAGTAAATAGGTACCCGGGATTTAGGCAACTGTTGTGGGTTGCATCCTGGAGAATGTCAGTGGTTGACTTTGATAACGGAAGATTTCAGTAATATTAAATGCCGTGTAAAGTCCCTTGGCAAAGAGGCGGGGTAAAGGCACTCAGAGGAGGGGAACCCGGGAAATATTTAATTACCTCGTTTAATGTCGTTTGAGCTTCGTGTAACGGCAAGCCATTAAGAGTTTACTGACTAATCACTTGGACTGATCGACGAAGTCGACGGAAGAGCTCGGTAGAAAATTACCGGCCGCTCAGCTTGACCTCACACATCTGCAAGCTCACGGAGAGAATCCTCAGAGAGGGAATCATTCGCCATCTTTCAGTGAACATTCTTGTAAAATCGAAACAACGTGGGTTTGTTAAAAATAGATCCTGCCTTACAAGCTTGCTCACATTTTTGGAAACTTCCGGTGGATGAAATATATATAGATTTTTCTAAAGATAAGGTACCGCATTAAAGACTGACAAGGAAATTACAGGCACTTGGAATAAACGGTAGAACACTTTTATGGATAACACAATGGTTAAGACAAAGAACACAAAGAGTGGTGCTATACAAGAATAAATTTGACTGGAGAAATGTGGTAAGTGGGGGTGCCACAGGGGTCCATTTTGGGACCAACCCTTTTTGTCATATACGTCAACGACATTGATGAGAATATTACGAACCACATCATCAAATTTGCAGATGACACAAAGATTTATGGTAAAGTGGGAAATGAAATTGATATTGAAGCCTTACAAAGAGATCTACATGAACTCCACACATGGTCAGATGACTGGCAAATGGTTTTTAATATTGACAAATGCAAGACCTTGCATGTGGGGCATAAGATCCCACGCTTCAACTACCAAATTAATAACATTACATTACAGCAGATTGACGAAGAAAAGGACTTTGGAGTCAAAATCCACCACTCATTGAAAGGTGCACAGCAGGTAGGAACAGCTGTAAGAAAAACCTAACCAAACCCTTGGAATAATCAGGCTAATTAATCATAATAATTGGAATAATCATAATTGTCCTTTGACTTTAAGGACAAGAAGGTAATGATTCAATTGTATATATCTCTCGTGCTCCCCATTTGGATTACTGTATCCAAGCACGGAGACCACATCTTCAGAAGGACATAGCTGCTGCTCTGGAGAAAGTGCAACACCGAGCAACAAAAATCATTCCAGAGTTAAGTCATCTCCCGTGTCAGGAACGGTTGAGGGCCACTGGGCTAACAACACTGCAAACCAAGGATGGCAGCGCGGATCTCATTGAAACTTTTAACATACTGAACGATTTGGAGGATGTGGAGCCGCAGCATTTCTTCAGCAGGTCAGATGTAACACACACAAGGAGCAACGGTTCCAAGCTCAACAAGCCACAATGAAGGACTGAAAACACGAGCCGCTTCTTTACTCACTTGGTTATAAACCCATGGAACCGCCTACCCGCCGGAGCCGTAAGTGCCAAAACTCTTAAATTTTAACATCCAACCGGAAAAGAACATCAGGGCAAATGGGGAAACGTTTGACAAGCCGCCAGCTTCCTGTTCTCGTCGAGGCCACTAGTGTTTTAAGCCCCTTAGGTGAATTCATAATATCTTTCCCGAGTGGTATAGTCACATTGGCTTAGTGTTGTCTGCTCATAGTATACATAGTATACATAGTATAATTTACACATATTTTTGTGTTAGTGTTGAGAGATGTGTAGACGGAGAGGCCGGAGTACCCCGTGTGTCGGTGTGTGTGTGTACACCAAGTATACTTTAGTATTCCGCTGAACTGATATGGCACAGGCACATTAATTGTTGTTGTGGTGGTGTTACTACCACAACCACAGCGTTACCACAACAACATCGTTACCACCACCACCACCACCACAATAACAGTGTTACCACCAGCACAACAACAACAACAGTGTTACCATCACCACCACCACAACAATATCGTTACCACCACCACCACAACAATATCGTTACCACCACCACCACAACAACAGTGTTACCACCACCACCACCACAACAACAGTGTTACCACCACCACCACCACCACACCACCAGTATCACCAGCTCAACACAGTGTTGTCACCTCAGTGTAGTGTGAGCAGTATAGCCGTCGTCAGCGTACTGTTAGCTCCACCCTCGTCACTCCCGCCTTTGGTAACAACCCCCTTCCCCCCAACACCCCTTCCCCCACCCCCCACACCCGCGTATAACGGCGGGGTGCCCGCTGTAGGGGGTGATGAACCCACCAGAGCGGCCCCTCCAATCAGAGTGGTCCCGTTATGGGTCTGATTGGCTCTCGACTTCGTAAAAAAAATGCAACTGATAAACTCGCCCCTCGGGGCAAAATTTAAATTTAAAAATTTGTTTTTTCCTAACCTGAAACGTAAAAAAATATACAACTGTTCGATCCCAAGAAACCTTCCTCCCCCCCCCCTCTAACCTATCTAAGGCTGATGCTTAGAAAAACGTCAATAATACGGTGGTTTAAGTTTCACCAACACGTCACATTTGTTAACGGATTGGTCGATTCCGTTGTCGTTCGACTCCCAGGCAGGAGAGGTCTGGTCACGTGTCCTTACACCTCATGTCCCTGTTCACCTAACGGTAAATAGTTACCCCTCCCCCTCCCCCCTTGTGTTAGGCAACTGTTGTGGGGAGCATTCTGCATGGGGGACAGTCTATAGCCTAGATGAGGGGGGACCTCGATAGGCCTATAATAGGCCTTGGTCTGCCCCCCCCTCCCCCCGATAATGAGACTAGTTGTAGATACCTGGTGAGGAGCTGGGATATGACGCCAAGGAGCTGGGATATTAGGTCGAGAAGCTGGGATATTAGGTCGAGAAGCTGGGATATTAGGTCAAGAAGTTGGGATATTAGGTCGAGAAGCTGGGATATTAGGTCGAGAAGCTGGGATATTAGGTCGAGAAGCTGGGATATTAAGTCGAGAAGCTGGGATATTAGGTCGAGAAGCTGGGATATTAGGTCGAGAAGCTGGGATATTAGGTCGAGAAGCTGGGATATTAGGTCAAGAAGTTGGGATATTAGTCAAGAAGCTGGGATATTAGGTCAAGAAGTTGGGATATTAGGTCAAGAAGTTGGGATATTAGTCAAGAAGTTGGGATATTAGGTCAAGAAGTTGGGATATTAGGTCAAGAAGCTGGGATATTAGGTCGAGAAGCTGGGATATTAGGTCGAGAAGCTGGGATATTAGGTCGAGAAGCTGGGATATTAGGTCGAGAAGCTGGGATATTAGGTCAAGAAGTTGGGATATTAGTCAAGAAGTTGGGATATTAGGTCAAGAAGCTGGGATATTAGGTCGAGAAGCTGGGATATTAGGTCGAGAAGCTGGGATATTAGGTCAAGAAGTTGGGATATTAGTCAAGAAGTTGGGATATTAGGTCAAGAAGCTGGGATATGGGGTCAAGAAGCTGGGATATTAGGTCAAGAAGCTGGGATATTAGTCAAGAAGCTGGGATATGGGGTCAAGAAGCTGGGATATTAGGTCAAGAAGCTGGGATATGAGGTCAAGAAGCTGGGATATTAGGTCAAGAAGTTGGGATATTAGTCAAGAAGCTGGGATATTAGGTCAAGAAGCTGGGATATTAGGTCAAGAAGCTGGGATATTAGGTCAAGAAGTTGGGATATTAGGTCGAGAAGCTGGGATATTAGGTCAAGAAGTTGGGATATTAGGTCAAGAAGCTGGGATATGGGGTCAAGAAGCTGGGATATTAGGTCAAGAAGCCGGGATATTAGTCAAGAAGCTGGGATATGGGGTCAAGAAGCTGGAATATTAGGTCAAGAAGCTGGGATATTAGGTCGAGAAGCTGGGATATTAGGTCGAGAAGCTGGTATATGGGGTCAAGAAGCTGGGATATGAGGTCAAGAAGCTGGGATATGTGGTCAAGAAGCTGGGATATGAGGTCAAGAAGCTGGGATATGAAGACAATGCCCAAACGTTGCCCCTCATTTAACCCAATGGCCAACATACCCCCCCCCATTCCAAAAAAAAACTTTGCACCAAGGTTAATTCAACGTTGAATTAACGTTACTCTTGGATATACTGTGCCCACCGAGTTGGACCAGCGGGGATCGAACTCCGACCTTGCAAGAAGCGAGGCCGGCGCTGTATCGGCAGTAAAGATGCAACATAATGACCCCAAAAGATTCAAAGTCACCGAGGAATAAAAAAAAAACCCCAGCTTTTTGCACTAACTACCCACTTGTTACAAGAGTTAGTCCTCGACCCAGATATTACGATATCCATGGTGGCCTTAACGAGGAACAGGAAGCCGGCAGCTTGTCAATTCCCCCTCCCCCCCCCCCTCCTCATCCCTGTCCTAGGCAGAAAGGCAAGACAGGAGCCCAGACAGGAGGACAGACTGGAAGTTGAAATATCAGGACAGGATAGGTGGTGAGATATGAGGCCACGATACGAGTTAGAATAGGACAGGATGGGATCTAGGAAAGAAGGACGAAGAGTGAGGGACGGTGCCTAACCAATGGGACCATCGTGGCTCGAACGCCGACCCGCCAGAAACAAGTTTCCATTCGTTGAACCTCATCAACACTTAACCGAAAACAGAGCAGAATATTATTATATATATTATATTATGTGGGGTGTACATAATGAACAATATATATGGTAATTGGCATATTTTTATTGAATGAAATGTAAAAAGTCACATGTACAGCAGGTGAAGCATCGGCGCCGCGTCGATCTAGACGTCTCCCCTGGCATTAGGGGGTTCACGTCGGCTGGGAACCATCATTAGGGGCCGCGGAGAGTCACTAGGGGCGTGGAGAGTCACTAGGGGGCGTGGAGAGTCACTAGGGGGCGTGGAGAGTCACTAGGGGGGCGTGGAGAGTCACTAGGGGGGCGTGGAGTCACTAGGGGGCATGGAGAGTCACTAGGGGGCATGGAGAGTCACTAGGGGGGCGTGGAGAGTCACTAGGGGGGCGTGGAGAGTCACTAGGGGGGCGTGGAGAGCCACTAGGGGGCGTGGAGTCACTAGGGGGCATGGAGAGTCACTAGGGGCCGTGGAGACCCACTAGGGGGGCGTGGAGTTCCCCTATACACCTTCAAGAGCGTTCGGTGGCGTTGAGAGAGAGGGTCGGCGGCCGAGGACAGGCGGGGAATGACTCGCAACTGTGGAGGCGTCTTCCCGCCTTCCCAGCCACCGCTGCCATCCTCCCGCCTCCTGAGGCGCCTTCAACCATCCTCCTGGCGGGAAGAGGGTCAGTGTTTACACTTTAGTTCCTTTTATTATGCAAGTCCCCATACCCGTCCTGTGAGTGGTAGTGGACCCCATACCCGTCCTGTGAGTGGTAGTGGACCCCATACCCGTCCTGTGAGTGGTAGTGGGGTCCCATACCCGTCCTGTGAGTGGTAGTGGACCCCATACCCGTCCTGTGAGTGGTAGTGGATCCCATACCCGTCCTGTGAGTGGTAGTGGACCCCATACCCGTCTTGTGAGTGGCAGTGGGGTCCCATACCCGTCCTGTGAGTGGTAGTGGACCCCATACCCGTCTTGTGAGTGGTAGTGGGGCCCCATACCCGTGCTGTGAGTGGTAGTGGGGCCCCATACCCGTCCTGTGAGTGGTAGTGGGACCCCATACCCGTCCTGTGAGTGGTAGTGGGGCCCCATACCCGTCCTGTGAGTGGTAGTGGGACCCCATACCCGTCCTGTGATTGGTAGTGGGACCCCATACCCGTCCTGTGAGTGGTAGTGGGGCCCCATACCCGTCCTGTGAGTGGTAGTGGGACCCCATACCCGTCCTGTGAGTGGTAGTGGGGCCCCATACCCGTCCTGTGAGTGGTAGTGGGGCCCCATACCCGTCCTGTGAGTGGTAGTGGACCCCATACCCGTCCTGTGAGTGGTAGTGGGGCCCCATACCCGTCCTGTGAGTGGTAGTGGACCCCATACCCGTCCTGTGAGTGGTAGTGGATCCCATACCCGTCCTGTGAGTGGTAGTGGGGCCCCATACCCGTCCTGTGAGTGGTAGTGGACCTCATACCCGTCCTGTGAGTGGTAGTGGATCCCATACCCGTCTTGTGAGTGGTAGTGGGGCCCCATACCCGTCCTGTGAGTGGTAGTGGGGCCCCATACCCGTCCTGTGAGTGGTAGTGGGGCCCCATACCCGTCCTGTGAGTGGTAGTGGGGCCCCATACCCGTCCTGTGAGTGGTAGTGGGGCCCCCATACCCGTCCTGTGAGTGGTAGTGGGGCCCCCATACCCGTCCTGTGAGTGGTAGTGGGGGCCCCATACCCGTCCTGTGAGTGGTAGTGGGGCCCCCATACCCGTCCTGTGAGTGGTAGTGGGGCCCCCATACCCGTCCTGTGAGTGGTAGTGGGGCCCCCATACCCGTCCTGTGAGTGGTAGTGGGGCCCCATACCCGTTCTGTGAGTGGTAGTGGGGCCCCATACCCGTCCTGTGAGTGGTAGTGGACCCCATACCCGTCCTGTGAGTGGTAGTGGATCCCATACCCGTCCTGTGAGTGGTAGTGGACCCCATACCCGTCCTGTGAGTTGTAGTGGACCCCATACCCGTCCTGTGAGTGGTAGTGGACCCCATACCCGTCCTGTGAGTGGTAGTGGGACCCCATACCCGTTCTGTGAGTGGTAGTGGGCCCTCATACCCGTCCTGTGAGTGGTAGTGGACGCATACCCGTCCTGTGAGTGGTAATGGACCCCATACCCGTCCTGTGAGTGGTAGTGGACCCCATACCCGTCCCGTGAGTGGTAGTGGACCCCATACCCGTCCTGTGAGTGGTAGTGGGGCCCCATACCCGTGCTGTGAGTGGTAGTGGGGGCCCCATACCCGTCCTGTGAGTGGTAGTGGACCCCATACCCGTCCTGTGAGCGAGTGACAAAGGTGTTGGTGGCACAAATGGTTTAAATACTGCATATTACAGTGAGAGGAAGCGAGGGAGGTGTTATTCTTCTACCTCTTATTAACACTGACACAACCAAATAAATGCAGACTACTGTATAATGATAGAAAATGGGAAACTAGGTAATGGTAAAAAATGGGAAACAGTAATGATAAAAGGGGAAACGAATTAACGTTAAATAAGAGAAAATTAATGTAGTAATTGTTAATATTATTTATAAGGTTAATCTATTCCTACCACTGTTATTATTAATTTAAAGTTACTGCATTAACACACAGAATATTAAAAATAACATTGTCGTGTCATTTACGACAGACACCAGAACAATTATCTACAAATTCTTCAATGGAGTGAGCAAAGAGTTGCACCACCAGACGAGACACATCAACAAATCAGTCAACAAGGGCTGGAGGATGATGACTCACGTCAGTAGCGTAGCTATAACCCGGCCAGCAGTGCCATAGTGCCGAGCCAGCACCCAGTTAGCGTGGCACACTCTCCGCTGGAGGCACTCGCCCTCAGCGTCCGCCCTTGACTGCCACTCCTCCTGCAGGAGACGTGGCACTCTTAGTTAATGGCTGGGGTCAGGTTAGAGGAGGAGGAGGAGCAGGGGGGAAGGGTAGTATGGGTGTCTTGTAGGGTCACTTAAGGGGTACTATGAGGTCATGTTGAGTCCTCTAAGTTCACGTGGTGTCTAGTAACGTGAAATCAGGAGTCGGTGTTGACACACTAACGCTGTTTTTATATCCATTACATAAATTACATATGTATTTATAAAATAACATACTTAGCCAACATATATTAAACAGGTTTTAGTTTTAATGTGACAAATTCTTTAATTAATGAGTTGTATCACGGATTATCTTCATTTATTTCCCGTTATAATTATGATAATTGAGATAAGTCTTGTTAAAAGCACGCCAGGTAGGCCCTTAGTACAGAAGCCATGAGGTGTGTTGGGCACACTCACCACCAGAGGGCCGAGAAGTTGACCAACTCACCACCAGAGGGCCGAGAAGTTGGCCAACTCACCACCAGAGGGCCGAGAAGTTGACCAACTCACCACCAGAGGGCCGAGAATTTGGCCAACTCACCACCAGAGGGCCGAGAAGTTGACCAACTCACCACCAGAGGGCCGAGAAGTTGGCCAACTCACCACCAGAGGGCCGAGAAGTTGGCCAACTCACCACCAGAGGGCCGAGATGTTGGCCAACTCACCACCAGAGGGCCGAGAATACTTGGTAGGGCGTCGTAAAGATGTTCGCTGCCTCCTTCGCTAATGAAGGTTAGAATGTCCGGTTCATCCTCCCAATTGCTTCCATTTTCCCACAGCACACGGCCGTCCGTCCACCTTTTTTTCCTCGCGAGGGCGGCCTCTTTTTCTGCGGTGACGTAGTCCACAATGTCCTGTGTGAAGTGGTACTTATATGGGGCATAATCAAAGGAACATTCAATGCACTTCATGCCTGAAATATATACAGTGAAGTATATGTAAGCAAGTAGCAATCAATAATTTAATAAACATTATTATATATACATATAATAATATATACAGTACATACATACATACATACATATAATATTATATATATATATATATATATATATATATATTATATTATATTATATATATATATATATATATATATATATATATATATATATATATATATATATATATATATATATATATATATATATATATATATATATATATATATATTATATATATATATATATATATATATATATATATATATATATATATATATATATATATTATTATTATATATATATATATATATATATATATATATATATATATATATATATATATATATATATATATATATATATATATATTATATATATAATAACAAGCCTGAATGGGCCCCAGGCATACATGCAACTGAAAACTCACACCCCAGAAGTGACTCGAACCCATACTGCCAGGAGCATTTTGCAACTGGTGTACAGGGCACCTAATCTACTCGACCATCACGACCGGACAAAAGCTGATGGTAGCCGAGGCTATTTGCCCATCAGCCCGCCGGCACTCTGATGGTAATCTTGGGCATAGTATTTTATCAAATCACCTCATTCTTTGGGGCACCATGAAAGCTACTAGACCTGAGAGAATATCACCATGGGTGTTAAAAGAAGCAGCACAGGCCCTCAGCATACCTCTAATGCTAATCTTTAACGAGACCCTTACAAGGGTGGTATTGTCCAGCTGCTGGAAGGAGGCTAATGTGGTGCTAATCTACAAGAAAGGAGATAGAGATGAATCGCTTAACTACAGACCAGAGTCGCTTACAAGCATTCCCCTGCAAAGTACTTGAAAGAATGATAAGGTTATGACTAGTTTCACACTTAGAAAGAAATGGGTTTGGAAAAGAACAAGAACATGGCTTTAGGGAAGGGAAATCACGAACCTCCTGTAGTTTTATGACAAGGTAACGGAAATCAGGCAAGAGAGAAGGCTGGACAGACTGCATATTTCCGGACTGCCTAAAAGCCCTTGATACAGTACCACACAGAAGAAGGTTACTATACAAATTTGAGAGGAACGCGGGAGTAGGCGTCACCCCATCCTCACCCTAGCATGGCAACTTACCCTGAGCATGGCAACTCACCCTGAGCATGGCAACTCACCCTGAGCATGGCAACTCACCCTGAGCATGGCAACTCACCCTGAGCATGGCAACTTACCCTGAGCATGGCAACTCACACTGAGCATGGCAACTCACCCTGAGCATGGCAACTCACCCTGAGCATGGCAACTCACCCTGAGCATGGCAACTCACCCTGAGCATGGCAACTCACCCTGAGCATGGCAACTCACCCTGAGCATGGCAACTCACCCTGAGCATGGCAACTCACCCTGAGCATGGCAACTCACCCTGAGGATGTCAATGAAGAGGATAAACCCCAGTAGGGCCAGCGCTGAGTTACAGTCGACGTGGGGCGAGTGTCTGTAGGAGGGAGAGAGAACAGGATATATTCACCATGTTTAGCTGCCGCAGTATTAGGTGTCCTTACTCCAAGGACCCTCCTGCAGGTAGGTCCTCCTCCTCCTGCAGGTAGGTCCCCCTCCTCCTGCAGGTAGGTCCCCCTCCTCCTGCAGGTAGGTCCCCCTCCTCCTGCAGGTAGGTCCCCCTCCTCCTGCAGGTAGGTCCCCCTCCTCCTGCAGGTAGGTCCCCCTCCTCCTGCAGGTAGGTCCCCCTCCTCCTGCAGGTAGGTCCCCCTCCTCCTGCAGGTAGGTCACCCTCCTCCTGCAGGTAGGTCCCCCTCCTCCTGCAGGTAGGTCCCCCTCCTCCTGCAGGTAGGTCCCCCTCCTCCTGCAGGTAGGTCCCCCTCCTCCTGCAGGTAGGTCCCCCTCCTCCTGCAGGTAGGTCCCCCTCCTGCAGGTAGGTCCCCCTCCTCCTGCAGGTAGGTCCCCCTCCTCCTGCAGGTAGGTCCCCCTCCTGCAGGTAGGTCCCCCTCCTGCAGGTAGGTCCCCCTCCTGCAGGTAGGTCCTCCTCCACCCCCAACAGAGCTAGCAGCTGACACTCACCCGTAGCTGCGAGACGAGGCCGCAGAGGTCACCATAAACGCTGCAACACAGAGATACCAAAGTTAGTATTGTCATAGTAATTATACTGTTAATGTCTTTATCTTATCATCACCACCATCCCCATCACTACCGTCACCATCATCACTATCTGCATCATCACTTGTGATCACCTTATACCTAAACCGCTCATAACTACCCTCAATGGATACCAAGATCCACTTCAGAATGCAGTATTTCTACAGTAAAACAGTTAAGGAAACATTACAGGAAGACCTAAGTTGAATTTCACTCTTAACAACAGTTTCCTTACTCTCAGATGCCCATGTACTGCGAGGTGAACAGGTGCATCAGTTGTGAGGAAACATGCCCAACCATTTCTGGGGGATCAGATCCGGGATCCTTGATTGTGTGTCAAGGACGTAGACCACTATAATAACACAATTGTGAAATTAAACTGAAAAAAATCTTTCTCATGACGAGTTCTTTGCACAAGAAAATCCTAAAGTTTGAACATAATTGTTCGTCCCAATGGGATATAATGCTCCACAACCAATTTATTATTATCCTTCCCGTGAGATATCCTCATGGATTATACAGCATAGTTATGGTACCATTCTCTGGATGTCAAGTGCCTTGAGAAGGCAAGGAAACTATCAGGGGAAAAGTGCCAAGCCATTACGACTATATAGCACTTGGAAGGGGTCAGGATAAGGATTTGGGATTGGACTGGGGAAAGGAATGGTGCCCAACCACTTGGACGGTCGGGAATTGAACGACGACCTGCGTGAAGCGAGACCGGCACTCCACCGTCCAGCCCAAGTGGTTGGGTAGGTGTCTTGAGAGTGTATAAAGGTTCACTGTGATAACCCCAGGCAGCAGGACCCTCTATTATCTGAGATAACTCAACTGGCCCATGGGACGACGTGTTTAACACAGGGGCTATATATAAGGGGTTAAACATATCAGTCGGAGGTAGAACATGGAACAATGTCGGCCCACGTCACGGGAAGACGGGTCGACGTGTGGGCCCACGTGACGGCAAAGACGGGTCGACATGTGGCCCCCACGTCACGGCAAGACGGGTCGACATGTGGGCCCACGTGACGGCAAAGACGGGTCGACATGTAGGCCCACGTGACGGCAAAGACGGGTCGACATGTGGGCCCACGTGACGGCAAAGACGGGTCGACATGTGGCCCCCACGTCACGGCAAAGACGGGTCGACGTGTGGGCCCCACGTCACGGCAAGACGTGTCGACATGTAGGCCCTCGTCACGGCAAAGACGGGTCGACACGTGGGCCCACGTCACGGCAAAGACGGGTCGACATGTGGGCCCACGTCACGGCAAGACGGGTCGACATGTGGGCCCCACGTCACGGCAAAGACGGGTCGACATGTGGGCCCACGTCACGGCAAAGACGGGTCGACATGTGGGCCCACGTCACGGCAAAGACGGGTCGACATGTGGGCCCCACGTCACGGCAAAGACGGGTCGACATGTGGGCCCACGTCACGGCAAAGACAGGTCGACATGTAGGCCCTCGTCACGGCAAAGTCGGGTCGACATGTAGGCCCTCGTCACGGCAAAGTCGGGTCGACATGTAGGCTCACGTCACTGCAAGACGGGTCGACGTGTGGGCCCCACGTCACGGCAAGACGGGTCGACATGTAGGCCCTCGTCACGGCAAAGATGGGTATCGATCGAGATCCCCTGAAAGTAGAACAACTGACCCATTCCAAGATGCAACCCCATAATAAGTTGACTTAACTCCTGGGTACCCATTCACTGGTATGTCACCAGGGGTGGGGGGAGGGAGGGGCATTTGGTGATAGGAAAACTAATGTAATGTAATGTCAAACAATTAGTATTCTGTCACGTCTGTCTTAGACCACCATCGTGGATATTTGTAATAATTTTTCTCGTTTAATTGAATATAATACATGCATTCCATGGCCCGTGACGGAGGTACTTACTCGTCAGTTATGGCCCGTGACGGAGGCACTTACCGTCAGCCATGGCCCGTGACGGAGGTACTTACCGTCAGCCATGGCCCGTGACGGAGGTACTTACCCGTCAGCCATGGCCCGTGACGGAGGCACTTACCCGTCAGCCATGGCCCGTGACGGAGCCACTTACCCGTCAGCCATGGCCCGTGACGGACGCACTTACCCGTCAGCCAAGGCCCGTGACGGAGGTACTTACCCGTCAGCCATGGCCCGTGACGGACGCACTTACCCGTCAGCCATGGCCCGTGACGGAGGCACTTACCCGTCAGCCATGGCCCGTGACGGAGCCACTTACCCGTCAGCCATGGCCTGTGACGGAGCCACTTTCCCGTCAGCCATGGCCCGTGACGCAGGCACTTACCGTCAGTTATGGCCCATGACGCAGGCACTTACCCGTCAGCCATGGCCCGTGACGGAGCCACTTACCGTCAGCCATGGCCCGTGACGTAGTCACTTACCGTCAGCCATGGTGGCGGGGCCGTAGCCTACTTGAGGTAACAGAGACGGTGTTCCCGCCTATATCACGGGCGTCACTCGTCGAGCAGGGCGCAAATTGCCTCAGCTACGTGGTAGTTAAGTCAGGAGCCAGGCGGAGGGGGGCGCTAGCGTGGCGGCGACGGCGGGTCAGCGATGGTAATGTTAACAGTACCGTAGTCTACTGCTGTTAGCTCTCCCCCGGCCGCGCCCTCCGCCGTACGACACCTGCTGCTGCTGCTGCTTCACCTGGCGCCGTGCTCTACGGCTGGCAGCGCTCCATTAATTACCGTACAATTCCTGGGTATTTAAACTATTTACTTGAGTTTACCTGAGGGGCCACTGTGACCTTAACGGGGACAGGAAGCCTGTAAGTTGTTAAACGGCTCCCATACACCGAAAGGTGTTTCCCATTTCTCGGTGTATTCATCAGGTAGTTCTTTCTCTCTGTATGCTACTCTGTAAGCACTTCAACCTCATGAACCTGCAACGTACAAACCCAGGCAACCCACTAACCAATCGAGGCCGATGTATAGAAAACGTAGATATTTGTGCAGCCCGCCCTCATAATCAAAGTCCATTCCATGCACCCGCCAAACCCCCTGTTTATGAATGAAAAGCGGTTTACACACGACTCACAACTGCTGACGTTCGAACATATCCGGAACAAGTGTTTCACTGACGAATTTTGTTCGAATCACAACGCTATAAATGCTTCACCCACGTACTACAAATACAAATAATCGCCAACAGAACCTAAACACCTAACCTAACCTATGCCTATATATGCACAATATGATAATATATTATAATATTAGTTTATATTTGAAAAAATTCCCGTTTTGAATGAACAGCATGAAAAAATTATGAATGCGTCTGTGGGGGTCGACCGCTGGAGGGAATGGATTTGGTCCAAGGACGGGTTGGTTTGTGAGCCGTTACGTTTCTTAATAGTTGCATTTGTAACGGTTACGATAACGTAAAAATCGCGACCTATCACCACAAAATATGCAACATGCAAGTTGTAGAGCTTAGAGGCTCTACTTGTGGACGGTCTCCAACCACTGTTGATATAGCGATATACAGTACAGTACATTTTGTAACTAGTTTATCAACACTGTAATTTGCTTAGCTAAATGAATTTTGGGGTTCATTGTTGAGCCCATTATATGCCTCTGTATCACTTCCCACTGCCCCCACAGGAGGGGTATGGGGTCCACCCCCCACAGTAGGGGGTATGGGGTCCACCCCCCACAGTAGGGGGTATGGGGTCCACCCCCACCCCCTACAGGATGTGAATGGGGTCCACCCCTTCCACAGGATGGGTATGGGGTCTACCCCACCCCCTACAGGATGGGAATGGGGTCCACCCTCACAGGATGGGTATGGTGTCCACCCCACTCCCAACAGAATGGGTATAGGATGCATAATAAGTAAACTAAACTAATTATTAGTTAAAAGAACCCGTTGTACACTGGAAGTTTACTGTAGTACAGAATAATGTTCAGTATTACACCATATACTTGCTGATTAGTCAGTAGGCTCTTGTGGGGGCCATAATGGTCCCCCCCAGAGGTTGATAGGCCTTATAGGCCCAACAGTAAACAAAACTGTTTCCATAACATACCGTACAAGATGTGTAGACACAGGCAGATAGTTTCACTTGATATTCCGAGAGCATATCCCATACCCCATCCTGTGGAGAGGGGACCCATACCCATCCTGTGGAGAGGGGACCCATACCCATCCTGTGGAGAGGGGACCCATACCCATCCTGTGGAGAGGGGACCCATACCCATCCTGTGGAGAGGGGACCCATACCCATCCTGTGGAGAGGGGACCCATACCCATCCTGTGGAGAGGGGACCCATACCCATCCTGTGGAGAGGGGACCCATACCCATCCTGTTGAGAGGGGACCCATACCCATCCTGTGGAGAGGGGACCCATACCCATCCAGTTGAGAGGGGACCCATACCCATCCTGTGGAGAGGGGACCCATACCCATCCTGTGGAGAGGGGACCCATACCCATCCTGTGGGTCGTAGTTAAAGAGGCTTTAACTATCTTCCACAGGTAGGTATAGTTTAAGACTCATTTTAACCTTTCTAAGAAAATATTAAAGAGGAACACAATAGAGCCAAGATCTGAGCCCCCCAAAATTCATTTAGCTAAGCAAATTACAGTCTTGATAAAGCTGGTACATTGTTTAATTTATACACACACATATATCAATTATTTTTGAAGAATAATGAGTTCAAGAACTGAAACATAAATGCCTCAAAGCTGAGCAATTTACTCTGGTTGTGAGCTATAATTAGCATCTGGCATCATTAGCATCTGGCATCATTAACATCTGGCATCATTAACCAGACTGAAAAGCACAGTGGAGTTATTTTAAATATTATTTTCCCAATGTACCTTACCAAATGTTTCCGCTATGGCCGGGGATCGATCCCCGGGCCTACGAATCCCGAGCGCTCTCCACTCAGCTGTCAGGGCACCCTAAATATTATTTTCCACTGAATGTTACCAATGAATTCCATTCACCTGGGCTGTAGGAGACTCGAACCCTGGTCCCTTACGTGTGTGAGGTCCAAGCACTATCGACTGGGCTATGAGTAGTCGCAATAAGGAAACCAATTTTATAAAAAAAAATTACTATAGTTTTCCAATTACTATTATTTTGCAGCAACGATTTATGTGAAAGAAGTCACGATAACGTTAATGATATCGCTAGGGGGAGCCGGTCGGCCAGCACGCTGTACTTGTGATCCTGTGGTCCCGGGTTCGATCCCGGGCGCCGGCGAGAAACAATGGGCAGAGTTTTTTTCACCCTATGCCCCTGTTACCTAGCAGTAAAATAGGTACCTGGGTGTTGGGCTGCTTCCTGGGGGTGGAGGCCTGGTCGAGGACCGGGCCGCGGGGACACTAAAGCCCCGAAATCATCTCAAGATAACCTCAATATAAGGGCAAAGGTAGCAAGGTAGCGATATAATGCAACAATGAAGCGATAAAATGTAACAATGAAGCGATATAATGTAACAATGAAGCAAGATGAGGCGCGACTTACGCTTCACTCAAGCGAACAAGAACAACGAACGGCCAGAATTTACACTTTTTTTTTGTTTTGTAAACAAACAGATTCAGTTCAATGAACTTAAGTGTTGAGAGGCGATGGGGGGGGGGGGGGGGGGGGGGTGATGGGGCGGCCTCCTGTTGATCGTACCGTTGTCTGCACTGTTTGCCGTTATGGTTCACTTCAGTGGTAAGACACGGGGTGTATGCCGTTATCAGGCACGCGCGCGCTCGCGCACACACGAGGTACCATCTGGGAGGTGAAATCCTGCAAGAGTCATATATAGAGAAAGATCTGGGGGTTGATATCATACCGAACTTGTCCCCAGAGGCCCACATCAAAAGGATATCATCAGCGGCATATGCTAGACTAGCACACTCTCCTAAAAATGAAGGCGATCACCAGGCAGCCACCAGGCAGCTACCAGACAGTCACCAGGCAGCCACCAGGCAGCCACTAGGCAGCCACCAGGCAGCCACCAGGCAGCTACTAGGCAGCCACCAGGCAGCCACCAGGCAGCTACCAGGCAGCCACCAGGCAGCCACTAGGCAGCTACCAGACAGTCACCAGGCAGCCACCAGGCAGCCACTAGGCAGCCACCAGGCAGCCACCAGGCAGCTACCAGGCAGCCACCAGGCAGCCACTAGGCAGCCACCAGGCAGCCACCAGGCAGCCACCAGGCAGCTACCAGGCAGCCACCAGGCAGTCACTAGGCAGCCACCATGCAGCCACTAGGCAGCCACTAGGCAGCCACCATGCAGCCCCCAGGCAGCCACCATGCAGCCACCAGGCAGCCACCATGCAGCCACTAGGCAGCCACCAGGCAGCCACTAGGCAGCTACCAGGCAGCCACCAGGCAGCCACCAGGCAGCCACCAGGCAGCTACTAGGCAGCCACCAGGCAGCCACCAGGCAGCCACCATGCAGCCACCAGGCAGCCACTAGGCAGCCACCATGCAGCCACCAGGCAGCCACCATGCAGCCACCAGGCAGCCACCATGCAGCCACTAGGCAGCCACCAGGCAGTCACTAGGCTGCTATCAGGCAGTCACCAGGCAGCCACCATGCAGCCACCAGGCAGCCACCAGGCAACCACCATGCAGCCACCAGGCAGCCACCATGCAGCCACCAGGCAGCCACCAGGCAGCCACCATGCAGCCACCAGGCAGCCACCATGCAGCCACCAGGCAGCCAGCAGGCAGCCACCATGCAGCCACCAGGCAGCCACTAGGCAGCCACCAGGCAGTCACTAGGCAGCCACCAGGCAGTCACCAGGCAGCCACCATGCAGCCACCAGGCAGCCACCATGCAGCCACCAGGCAGCCACCATGCAGCCACCAGGCAGCCACCAGGCAGCCACCATGCAGCCACCAGGCAGCCACTAGGCAGCCACCAGGCAGTCACTAGGCAGCCACCAGGCAGCCACCAGGCAGCCACCAAACAGCCACCAGGCAGCCACACCAGGTAGTCACACCAGGCAGCCACCAAACAGCCACCAGGCAGCCACACCAGGTAGTCACACCAGGCAGCCACCAAACAGCCACCAGGCAGTCACCAGACAGCCACCAAACAGCCACCAGGCAGCCACACCAGGTAGTCACACCAGGCAGCCACCAAACAGCCACCAGGCAGCCACCAGGCAGCCACCAAACAGCCACCAGGCAGCCACCAGGCAGCCACCAGGCAGCCACCAAACAGCCACCAGGCAGCCACCAGGCAGCCACCAAACAGCCACCAGGCAGCCACCAGGCAGCCACCAAACAGCCACCAGGCAGCCACCAGGCAGCCACAAGGTAGATGAGTACAGTTAGGTAATTACACCTTGATGAATCCTCCCCAGGTGAGCCCAGGCCGGCCAGACGAAGGCACTTAACCAGCCGCTCCTCGCCCGTGGCGGCCAACACAGGACACGGACACAATGCTGTCCCAACACTGCCACGGAGGGAGAGGAGAGACAACCTGCGACTCAGACAGAGAGAGAGACAGACACAGAAAACAGGCGTACAGTGAGAGAGGTTTAGGCATAGTCTGAATGGGTGGTACGAAGACAGGCACAGAGGTCTTACAAGGGGGTCAGGTATAGAAGGGCGTCAGGTATAGAAGGGGGTCAGGTGTAGAAGTGGGTCAGGTCTAACAGCTTCACCAGGAGGCACACATGTACCGTTAGGGGCCCCACCCCCATGTTGGGGTTCAGGAGTGGGTTAGGTCCAGCAGCTTCCAGGGCTGAGTCACGTCCACCAGTTACCATACCTGAGTCAGTATCCCTTATCCACTCGACCATCACGACCGGACAAAAGCTGATGGTAGCCGAGGCTATTTGCCCATCAGCCAGAGTGGTTAAGGTGCCCTGTACACCAGTGGCATAGTGCTCGTGGCAGTATGGGTTCGAGTCACTTCTGGGGTGTGAGTTTTCAGTTGCTTGTATGCCTTGGGACCATTCAGGCTTGTTCGCATTTGTGTTCCTCACGTGTGTCCCAAAGAATGAGGTGATTTGATAAAATACTATTCCCAAGATTGCCATCAGAGTGCCGGCGGGCTGATGGGCAAATAGCCTCGGCTACCATCAGCTTTTGTCCGGTCGTAATGGTCGAGTGGATAAGGTGCCTTGTACACCAGTTGCACAGTGCTCCTGGTGGTACAGTTCTGACCGTAGTTCATCCCTAAAGTGTATAACACCGAGGGGCGGGGTGTATACTCCGAGTATGTATCCGAACATACACTAATGTATCCGAACATACACTGGCATTGCACTGAAGCTTTCATTAACAGTTCGTCAAAGTGTTGGGAAGCGATGTGATGTGTGTGGGGCTGGAGATGTGTCATAATTCAGCCCAGTGAGAGATGCGAACCATGGATGGGCTGACGGCAGATATGGCGACATTGACGCCATGGTTAATGCGTACTAGTAGTAGGCATCCAACAGTCTCAGGAGACTATGGAGTTGCGCTCTGGTTGTCGCTCTGGAGTGGCCTCACCATATCACCAGTTGTTTAGGTATTCAATAAATATCCATTCGTCGGATATCGTCGGTGATATATAAATATATATAAATATCCCATTCGTCGGTGAGCACGTCCCGTTTTCTATTGATAGGATGAAAGAAATACCAAATAATACAAAGGTACTTTATTAAGCGCTGTTACAGTACCTTAAGGTATCTCTGCGATACAGACAATGCGGGGTATAAATAGGGTTATGAAATAACCCTATAGGTTAACCTTAATACCCTATAACCATAACCCAAATAGGGTTATGAAATAACCCTATTTATACCCAATAAATAAATAAGGGGGTTTATAGGGTTATGAAACTATGGTGACAGGTCTGAACCAGTAACAATGGGTACCAGGTAGAGTCATTTCGTGTTTGGAGGGACTGCAGGGAAGCAGTGGTTAGGGGGGAATAGGGATGTGGATGAGGGGGAAGGGGGGGGATGCTAGGCTAGTAATTACTACTAGCCCCTATCCCTTCTGCCTCACCCAGACTAGGAGACATGGGGGGGGGGGTCATGAAGACACTTTCACAAATTTTCTTTCGAAGTAGGAATCGAGACTCCTGAACCTTCATTACACGTCCATCTGTCTGTCGTGTCTCACTGTCGTCCTCTCTCTCTCTCTGTCACTGTCGTCCTCTCTCACTGTCACTGTCGTCCTCTCTCACTGTCACTGTCGTCCTCTCTCACTGTCACTGTCGCCCTCACTCACTCTGTCACGGTCATTCTAACGTTGGTAATCACCAAAGTAGCTTATTAAGCACCTAATCATAAAAGAGGAAAATTAAATTAGGATATTTCTTCTCTTCGTGTTCCTTCCCCTTCCACAGCGTCGAGTACACAATGTGTCAACTTTGTGAAAGAGAAAACATGCACTCTCTTGAACATTATATTGTAGAATGTCCCATACTGACTGACTTTCGCCCTCCTGGGCTAAGGTATGCTGAACTCTGTAGTTACTATATGAGTACTGGAACACTTGATGATATATTGGACTTGTATCCAAGATTGACCATGTAATATATCAATCATACAATGTATATATATGATGTAACTATATAACCTGAGCTTGTAAAAGCACCTTCATCACCTTCAGTGATTAAGTGCTTAATTGCACACTAGTTTCTTTATCAGCTACCTCACCCTGTCAGAGTAAATGTGACAAATGTATGTGAATGTATGTGTGTGTGTATATATGTATGTATATGTGTGTGTGTGTGTATATGTATGGGTATAAAGTATATATGGAAGCTGATCAGAATTACATTTCACCTTTGTGAATGTACATTAATGACACTATGTAAAAGACACATCTAATACTTTATGTAGGGCATACGTAAATCTGCGTATCTATGTATTTACGTATTTAGGTTAGCTTAGCATTTTAAAAGCACCGAATCACCTTCTGTGGTTGAGTGTTCAATAAACCCTTGAACTGTATGTTTAACACTTCTTTAACCCTGTCCATGGAGGACAGAAGAAAGTGTATATATGCTGGTTAGCATTGTAAATGTGTGGCCACGTCTGTGGTAGAAAAAAAAAAAAAAAAAAAAAAAAACAGCCTCGCTGGACGAGGTGGTCGTAACCTAGACCCCAGGACGAGGTGGTCGTAGAGAAGGGTCGTAACCTAGATCCCAGGACGAGGTAGTCGTAGAGGAGGGTCGTAATCTAGACCCCTGGACGAGGTGGTCGTAGAGGAGGGTCGTAACCTTGACCCCTGGACGAGGCGTGTGTCGAGGCTTCAGCTCGGGGCAGTCCATGAACGCCTGCCTGCAGTCGCCGCCATTCCTCCCCACCTCTCCGGCCCTCAGCGCCCTCCGGTAGGTCTCCTGGTCACTGGTGAGGGACCTGGAGGCCACCTGGGTGAGCAGGGACGACACCAGGCCGCCGACGGTGTCTCCAAACGTGGTGTCGCTTGTGCTGTTGTTCGGGGCTCGGGCCAGGAAGGCCTGGTTGGCCTGGCACACGCTGTGCTCCAGACACGCCGGCGACTCCAACCCGTCGTTCACATCCACCATATTGTGCTGTTTGTAAACAATACACGAACAAATCAAATTACAAATCAATACAAAAGTGCCAAAAAATTAACATAACTATAAGCTCTCGCTACTGGAAACCAGACCCAGGATTCATGACGTGTCTACTTGCGAAACCCGTACATCCTTCAACAATTATGGCTGCTTGATCTACATTTGTTGTAATTGAACAGTGTGAGCTCCGAAGCACTGCGGGGATGTTTAAACCAATAATAACTTTGGGGGTTGAAGTTTCTTAAGCTCGTAAAACTTTAATAATAAATGTAAACAACACCGCCATGACTGTTGAAAGATGTAGAGGCTTCGTAAGTGGTGGCGTACACGCTTGATGAAGCCCGGGTTGCCTGAGGGCGGAGGTAGCACCCACCAGGAGGGGCAGGAGGGTGGCGGGCAGCGTGTGCAGCAGGTGGGCGGCTCCTCCACCACTGAAGTACTCCAGTAAGCTGCCGCTGCTGCCTGGAGCATCACCTTCAGCGCTCCTGCGTCTCCTCCTCATCTCTTTTTTTTCAGATTGCTTTATCACATTCCCAATAATATCCTGCGAAGACGGAGGAAGAGTAGGTAAAAAGACGGAAACATGAAATTGAGAGAGAGAGAGAGAGAGAGAGAGAGAGAGAGAGAGAGAGAGAGAGAGAGAGAGAGAGAGAGAGAGAGAGAGAGAGAGAGAGAGAGAGAGAGAGAGAGAGAGAGAGAGAGAGAGAGAGAGAGAGAGAGAGAGAGAGAGAGAGAGAGAGAGAGAGAGAGAGAGAGAGAGAGAGAGAGAGAGAGAGAGAGAGAGAGAGAGTGAGTGAGATATGGAGAAAAATAAGTAAACGAAAACAGAAATGAAGTTAAACAATAAATTTTGATAAATTCTGACGATTTATATTCAAATAAATCTATTGATATCTTACAGTATTTGAAAAGATAACTATTATTATATATTTTAAAAGATAATTATTATAATATAAATTAATATGAATACCGTGAAAATTCCCCCCCCCCCCCACATGTCTGCACTATACAAGTAAAATCATAGTATCGGTTACATTTCTGTTGTTGTCATTATTAAGGTAGTAGTTGTGTCAACTACTGTTGACCAGCCTCTCTTACCCTCAGAAGTTCTATCAATCCCAGTAGACCAATCAGTCCAAGAGCAGAGTTGCAGTCCACTATTTTCTCGTATCTAAACAAGAACAAAAAATTTAACATTGTAAAATGGTAAAAATGTAGCTTTTTGTTGGCTATATTTTATTACTCTTTCAAAACATCTGTAACTGTAACAAAGAATGTCTGTCTGTTTGTACGGCTGTCTGTCTGTTTGTACGGCTGTCTGTCTGTTCAAAAGTTGGAGGCCAGATACTAGACTCACCCAAAATTGCAGGGGGATGGGGGGAATGGTCTAGGGTATGGGATGGACATAGGCTCGTCGATGCAGGCCTAAGTTAAATGCCTTAAGAAATATTACCAATTATAGATACCTCCTTCCTGCGATTTGTATGGAGTCAAGTGTGAAATATGTGGTGTGATGATTCCCTTAGAGTCGTTAAAAGTCGTAATGTATTTGCTGAAGGACCCATACAGTTGTATCAGTGTTTCTTAATAATACATTTTCTGAGGGAAGGGGGTGAGGGGGAGCAGAGGGAGGACGGGAAGTTGAAGGGGAGGGCGAGGGGAGGGACGAATGGGGGGCATCGAAGGGAAAAGGAGATGGGGTGCAGAGTGGGGAAGAGCGGGAGGAGACCCGAGTGCAGCCGGTTACCCCTTCTACATATATAAATGGAAATGTGTCTGCTTGAAGTTGCAGGGGAAGGGTATAGTGGGGTAGGGGGGTGAGAGGGGAGATGAGAAGGGGAAGACGAGAGACAAGAGGTGGAAGAGACGAAGGGGAGAAGGGAGAGAGAGCGGGAAAGGGAGGGAAGAGGAGGTGGGGGTGGGGGGGGGGTGGGGAAGGATTTGGGGAGAGGGGGGAAAGAAGAGTAAAGGAACCTCCTAGTACATTACATAACTTATCCATCTAAATCATTGTGTTGAGAGAGGAAGCCAGCGAGGTGTGGAGGCCAACTTACCCATACCCGCCATCAGCGGCGCCGTAGCTGCCGTAGTCCCCACCAGCGGCCACCTTGCTGCCGTAGTCTGTGAGGGAGACACACACACACAAGTAGTTAGTAAAAACAGTTGATTGACAGTTGAGAGGCGGACCGAAAGAGCAAAGCTCAACCCCCGCAAACACAACTAGGTGAATACAACTAAGTGAATACACACCTGTATCGCCACTCGGGTCTACACCAACACTACGCCTCACCTTACACGACTGTGCTACGAGGATGGGTCAAAATGTCACACAGAAGGGGACACGATCACTACATGAAAATTACCGAAGGAAATAAAGTAGAAATCTGGAAACTCAAATGAGTCGAAGAAAGGTCAAGAAATACTCGTACTCGGGTAGGAGGGGTCAACAAGTGGAATGCACCGAAAAAAGGAAGTCTTGGAAACCACCTCCATCCACAACTTCAGTGTCAGATACGACAAATCGCTTAAACGTCAGGAGATAATGTTCCAGAAACAGCAAGGCTGCAGGCGGGGATTAGGAGCTAAACTTCACCTCACCATATTCCGGCAGAGGAAGGCTAGAGGATACATATACAATTAAATAACATATAAATTCAAAGAATTAAAAATAAGTATATGCATTTCAATAAATCAACTGACACACATAAATTGAATAAAGCTACATATATGCAGCCTAAATATACACAACGCAAATATATACATAACTCACCGTCTTCCATTTCAGGTTCTGTATATCTTCAAACTTAAAGTTCTCTCTCTCCCTCTCACAAGATAGTCAATCTTATCTTTAAGAAGCAGAATACAGACGGCTCACCACACTCCTATACCACAGTACAGCACGTAACGCAGCTTCTCTCCTACGAGATCACCCCCTCGAAACCTGTTCTTTTCTACAGGTGTTTAGCGTGGTAGGGCTGGGTCAGCAGGTAGGCAGCTCCTCCGTGCTGCGCCTGGCCCGTCTTGAAGGTAGGTTGGTGTTGCTGGTGTGTGTCTACGTGTCTGTCTGTCTGTACCTGGAGAAGAGGGGCGGGAGCGCGGGTTCTGTGCTGCCAACATCGCTCAACAGAGGGCAGTGTTTGCATGTGCCCGCGTACGAATACGTCGACATGGTCGATCATTTAATTTCTAAGCTTAAGACACAATTTCTCAAAGCCCTATTCAAATATCAATAAAGATAATAATATTAAACAAATATTATAATACCAAAATAATAACTGATAACTTCAGCTTTATTTAAATCAAATTATGTAAAGCTCTACAATATAGCTGGACTTGAGCAGTTGTTTAACTGTAAGAATCTTAATTTTTAAGATATATGTTAAATCAAATCTGACTCACAAGTAGATATCAGCGCCACACAGCTCAAAATTTAATAGGGCTACTTGTATGGGGCTACTTGTATGGGGCTACTTGTATGGGGCTACTTGTATGGGGCTACTTGTATGGGGCTACTTGTATGGGGCTACTTGTATGGGGCTACTTGTATGGGGCTACTTGTATGGGGCTACTTGTATGGGGCTACTTGTATGGGGCTACTTGTCTGGGGCTACTTGTATGGGGCTACTTGTATGGGGCTACTTGTATGGGGCTACTTGTATGGGGCTACTTGGAGTGGACATGAGGCCGGGCAGCAAGTGTAGGAGTTTACATGAGGCCGGACAGCAAGTGTAGGAGTTTACATGAGGCCGGACAGCAAGTGTATGAGTTTACATGAGGCCGGACAGCAAGTGTAGGAGTTTACATGAGGCCGGACAGCAAGTGTAGGAGTTTACATTAAGCCGGGCAGCAAGTGTAGGAGTTTACATGAGGCCGGACAGCAAGTGTAGGAGTTTACATGAGGCCGGACAGCAAGTGTAGGAGTTTACATGAAGTCGGGCAGCAGGTGTAGGAGTGAACATGAAGTCGGGCAGCAGGTGTAGGAGTGAACATGAAGTCGGGCAGCAGGTGTAGGAGTGAACATGAAGTCGGGCAGCAGGTGTAGGAGTGAACATGAAGTCGGGCAGCAGGTGTAGGAGTGAACATGAAGTCGGGCAGCAGGTGTAGGAGTAAGGGTGAGGTCGAGCAAGGCTGGTTACCTAAGATAGCTCTTGAACATTTCCTTCTGCACAATTTAGTTTACAAAAGTCAGCATCGTGATCATTAGAGTGTGGATGTAGGCGTGAGGTGAAGGTGTGAGGGTGTAAGCGTGAGGGTGTAGGCGTGAGGGTGTAGGTGAGCGGACACTCCAGGGACCAGCTCCGCCCAGGGTCATAACAGGACTGTCAGGACTCAGGTCCTCGGGGAGGTGTACCAACCCATCGCTGACCTGGTTACTGCTGGTGCAGTTGTGCAAGGAAGGGTAAGTGTAGGCTGAGTAATTGTTGTGGGGATGAGTAAGAGGCAGGGGGGGGTGAGTAAGAGACCGGGGGGGTGAGTGAGAGGCACGGGAGATGAGTAAGAGGAAAGGAAAATAACGAGGGATAAGAGGGAAGGAAGGATCACCAGAGATGAGAAAGATGTATAATGAGAGATAGGAGCACGATAACGGGTGCGTAAGCGGCAGGGATATAATGGATAATGAGTAAAATAAGAGGATGAGTAAGGAGGGGGGGTAGAGGGATAATGACGAATGAGTAAGGGACAACGGAATGATCGTAGATGAATTAGGAGCAGCTAGGGAAATCAGTCAAGGGCAGGGGGGGGGGAAAGATAAACATTACCTCAGTTAAGTAATTATCAGCGATCATTTCAGCTCCTCTACCCTGCACCTTGCTCAGGTATCCCAATCAACAACTCGATATTTAAGTCGCTAACGATTACTACGTAGTTTTAAGAATTGATTTAACTTCACCTTACAAGACATCATCATGTGTGTGTGTGAGAGTGGTATATAGCCAGCTCCAAACCTCACTTCAATTACGGGCTCACCATAGTCTGTGCTACATGGACACTTCGTTCTGAGTAGCTAAATCTAAAACAACAACAACAACTCACTTCAACATATGGCTTGTAAATTTAATATCTTTTATTTGGTATCCGTTATACCTGGCTTTATATATGTGAATGAATAGCCACAGAGGAAGAAAAACGAAGTAATAACGTGATTGCTTTCGTGTTAATCGTCACATCAAAAGTGTAATAAATTAAGATTGATTGATGATGATTAAGCCAGCCAAGAGGTGGCACGGGCACGAATAGCCCGTAAGGATGGGAGATAGGAAGGCACGGGTAATAAACAAAGAGAGGAAGGTGAGGAGCAGGTAAGAGAAGAAGGTAAGAGTAAGGTGAAAAAAAGGTAAGAATAGGATGAATGATACGAATGGGATGAGTGTTTGTAATGGGATGGAGGTAGAATGGA